CACATGCACTCAACTTCCCCCACAAACTTACCCCTTTTCCTTTGTTCTTTATGGCAGTAAATAGCTTTACAACCCATCAAATCACACAGGCCAGAAATCCTTAATGTCCACTAATAACATTTAAATAAGCTAATATATCCATAATAGAAAATATTACATAGATGAGATAACACTGGAAGCTCACCAAGACATCCTGTTTAGTCTGAAATTACTTAACAATGGTTACCTCTGGAAAAGTGCCTCAAATCAGGGAGCACTTCTTCTCTTCAGTGCTTGAATGTCAAAACAAAAACCAACAACTACCAAAAAAAACCCAACACTTAAGAATAAAGAAAGATATGGAATGGATCTACTGTTTCACAGGCATCAATGGTGTCTCACCAACAGACTGAGGTTCCAGGAAACCCAAGCCTAAGCTACTTCCTCAGTACAGGTACCGATTACCTGGCCTGCCTTGCGTGGTTGGGCTTTACTGTCAGAATTGCTTCATAGAGAAGATACTGTTGTCATTTGCTTTGCTCACATTAAAAGAATGGGCACTTTGGCCTGGTGCGGTGGCTCACGCCTGTAATCCCAGTACTTTGGGAGGCCGAGGCGGGCGGATCATGAGGTCAGGACATCCAGACCATCCTGGCTAACATGGTGAAACTCCGTCTCCACTAAAAATGCAAAAAAATTAGCTGAGCGTGGTGGCGGGCGCCTGTAGTCCCAGCTACTCGGGAGGCTGAGGCAGGAGAATAGCGTGAACCTGCGAGGCGGAGCATGCAGTGAGCCGAGATGCCACTGCACTCCAGCCTGGGCAACAGAGTGAGACTCCATCTCAAAAAAAAAAGAATGGGCACTTCTAGAAGGAAACTCAAGACTCAAGAAACTGTTAATAGTGATTGTCTCTGGAGAGCAGCCCTGGAGTCTGAGGCAACACTGTACTACCTGCAATTGTTGAGGGTGTGCATGCACTGGATGTTCAATTGTAAACAACTAAGTAAATAACTGAAGGGCAGGGGGGACTTCCTTTCCTCTGAGAAGTCTCCCTAAACCTTCTTCCAAATTAAAGCAAGACTCCTTATAAGCAACTCTCGTAACATCTGTGGAGCACAGTGAGTGCTGCAGGACTCAAAACTTTCTTTAAATAAACGCTAAGACATGAACAAATGCATGAACCTATCACTGGCTCCCCCATGGCCTTACAATAAACTCTTCAAGTATTACCTTGGCCTTCAAGACCCGTCACAGTGTGGCCGCTGCTTCCAAATGCTACACTGCCCGATGCTTTGCGGGGCTGCCTGGGAGCCTCACCGCTCTCCTGAATGACCTGTCCCCACACACCAGGGCAGGCTCAAGGGTCAGTGCAGGAGTCCCCCTGCAGCTTCTTCCCTGCCCCCAACTACCCTCACACACTCAGCCTACCGCACCCTGGGCTGTACCACACGGCGCAGGATGTGCGTTTCCCAGCAGGACCAGGGCACTGTGTTTATCCTACCCTTTCCGAGATCTCTAATAACTCACAGACTACACTGGATATAAGAGGAGCTAAAAAAAAAAAAAAATGTTGAATGAATCAATGCTAAAATATTGTAGAAGATAATATAAATTAGTGACTAAAAATAGGGGTTCTGAAGTCAGACCATCTTGGTCCAAATCCTGGCTCTACCATTTAATAGCTGTGTCCCCTTGCACAAGCTATTTATCCTAAATCTGAGTGTCCCATAAATCAGTAAAATGTAGTATATACCTCCAAAGATCTGGGGGGATTAAATGAGATTATGTACAGAGGCACCTGGCACAGTGTTTATACAAAGAGCTCGATAACATTATTATTGCTACCGCCATTGACTTCTATGTTTATTTGCCTTTTACTGTCCCTAAGTACTTAACACTTAAAATGTCCAGTTTTCTCAGTTATACTCAAGAGAAACAAACTGTTAAACCAGGATTATTATATCTGGAAACTACTGTATGAATAAAAGTGATAATCCTCCAAAGGAAAAATGACACTTAAAGAAGACAGCGTTGGAGACCATCATCTCTCTCCACCTTCTTCTGCAAAAGGTTCTTTCAGTGCCCAATTCTAGAAGTTCTAGATTGTACTTTATTGAGGGAGGCTGTAATTCCTTTACACTCCTACACTGTCATCAGCTTCTTGCAAGGCTATTTCTGGGTTTTATTCCAGGTAGCTGGAATTGCAAGATAATAAAGTAAGCATGGAGTTACTACAATTATGATCTACCCATATAATTACCATAAGGAGACGTTCTAGTCACAATACTGATAAGAAAAAAAAAGTCTTTCCACTACAAAATATAGATATATACAGATGTGGATCCCCTACTAGTGACACAAGCAAGTTAAGATACATACGTAGGTAGCTATATAAACACATATGTACGCATATATTGTATAGACGCATGTTTTGTACTTCCTTTCTGCTCCAAATGACTCGTACTCACTCCATTAAATTCCACAATATTTACTGATTCCCCTTGATACAGTCTGGATATGCATCCCCTCCAAATCTCATGTCCTCAGTGTTGGACGTAGGGCCTGGTGGGCGGTGACTGAACTATGGTGGCGGTGGCCCTCACGAATGGCTTGGTGCTCTCCTGAGACGGTGAGTGAGTTCTCGTGAGACCTGGCTGTTTAGAAGTGTGTGGCACCTCCCCACTCTCTCGCTCCTGCTCTTGCCATGGGATATGCTGGCTCCCCCTTTGCCTTCTGCCATGGTGGAGAGTTTCCTGAGGCTTCACCAGAAGCCCAGTAGATGCCAGTGCCACACTTTCTGTAGAGCCCACAGAACCGAGAGCCAATTAAACCTCTTTTCTTTGTATATTACCCACCCTTGGCTATCTCTTCATTTTAGGCAATGCAAGAATGGCCTAACACCCCCTTCTATGTGTGAGACACCATGCCAAGAGACTTGGGGTGCATACACATGAAAGCCAGTCTTGCTATAATCTAGTGAAGGACACACACACACACACAACTAACTGAAGGAACCAAGGCTGCAGTGAGATGCTGGTGGTCCTCTGGGATTGCAGACTCATCCATACATCTGCCCACTCAACGTGTCCACAGAAATGAGCCCACACTGAAGTATCTTACTGGGGCACCTGCTCACCTTCCATCGCCACACAGGGAACACCAGGTTCCACCCAGTCACCCAAAGCAGACACGTCAGTGTCCACCTTGACTCGTCCATCTCACCTACTCCATCCCCGAACCCACTCCACTAACTGAGCATGTACAATCCACTCACTTCCCCTACCTCTGGGCCACTACCCTAATTCAGACTTCGGTGATGTCTAATCTAGTACCAATGCAACAGCCTCTGAAAGATCCCCGTCCCCTAGCCTTACGCCATGCCAACTGGTCTCCATAGCTGCAACCGAACGGCTTAAAACAAGCAAAAGTGTGTACATGTCACTATGCTGCCTGTATTTCTTCAGGAGGGCCTCTCCAGCCTTATTTTCCACACCTCCTCTCATACTCCGTGATCCAGCCAAACTTTTAATTCTTGAAATGTTCCACATTACCTTTTGACACTTGGAAGTCTTTTACCTGAAACTTGATTCCCTAGCTACTCTCTCTCTCTTTGCCCAATGAGTTCCTGTTCATTCTCTGATCGTCATTCCCTCCTGGTATTCCTCCCTAACCTCTTTAGGCGTGCCAGGTTCAGTGGTTATGCTGGACACTTTTGCTTTCAGGGCTACCCACAGCCCAAGCTGCCTTCTATTTAGTAAGACTCCTTTAACGTGTGGGTCTTTGCGAGAGATAAAGAACATCTCCCTCCATCTCCCTGCTCCCGGGCAACTGCAGTGGCTTGGCAAAAAATGTCACAAAGATGCAGGAGCAATAAGAGATTTTTCAGTGGTAGAAGAGAGTCAAAAGGCCAGCAACAGACATGGCAGTTTCTCCAGTGGCAATGTCACCAGTAGCAAACTTCTAAGCAGGCTATTTATGTGATATTGCCTTGGCTGTGGCCCCATCCAGCCAGCCTCTTTTGGTTGCTGCCTGTTTTTTGAATCCAGTTCCCCGGCCTTCCCATCAATTCTGAAAGCCATCTATAGCCTTCCAATAAATCCCTTTTCTGCTTAAGTCAGCCAAGTCCATTGCCACGGTTGACAACCAAGAATCATGACTGGCATTGTGACACTCTGTGTGCATGACATTAGACTGCACTGCCAAGGCACATTTGCTGGCTTATATTCTCCACCATCTTGTTCATTTTACTCTAGTGCAATGACTGGCACAAAGCAAGCATGCAATGTTTCCTGAACGAATTACTTAATTTCACCAGTCATCAGAGTTGGAAAGCAAGGAAAACGCTTAGTGGAGGACCACAGTGCATTCCTGAAAAACCAATCTCAACAACAGTCGAGAGTCACAACCACCAATTAGAAATACACAGCTTAATTTATTCGCCTATTCATGGATTTAGAAAGTAGGATTCTTCTATCTGGGATACAAACCACCTTCTTAAAGGAGACGAGAAAGAGAAGAAATCAAACCAGGAGAGTCTATTTTATTAAGGTTAGCGAGTTCTACTCTAATAAAACAAACCTAATTGGAATGAATATTGGGGAAAACGTCCCTTCAACCAGGTGAATACCCACTAGTCCTTGAGACCTAACTCAAATAATATATCCTACAAGAAGCTTTCACCACTCCCCACCATCAATCAGCCATAACTTCCACTGTGCTCCCATCTCTCTATTTTAGTACGTAGAAAAGGGTATTATATTTATTTACGTCTCTTCGACCAGACCTCAAAATCCTCTAGGGAAGTATATTATTATTTCCAACACCTAGAAGGGTGTTTGGCATAAAGCAAGAACCAGTGTTTTTGAAATGGAGCCACTCTGCTCTGCTTAAAAGGTACCAATGGAACTGTCCTATTGTTTGCAACTTTTCTGTAAATCTTAATTTATTCCAAAATAAAGTTTAAAAAAAAAAACACACACCAGTGGCAACTGTGTTATGAGCAATTATCACACCTGCCTTACATGTCGTGCAAGAAAAGAGCTTTACCTTGTGCCAGTAGCAGTAATTTTGTATACAGCAAAGTGAGTCTGTTTGTAAAAAGGGAATAATTCCTACTACACAAGACTGCTGTACTAAATGAAGTACAGTGAGTATGCCAAATGACATATGAGCTCTTCTTAACAGGGTTCTGATGAGTATATGTTAGGGCCCTTGTCTACAGTGTTCTAAATGGACTAGCACCTCACCACAAAACAGATACGTACTACGACTAGGATGTCCCCAGGCACAGACCGCAAAGCTGTAACTCAAATCACTATTAAGACTGTAATTACCTATAAAAGTATTCTACATATGTGTCCACGGATGTGGGATGTCCTATTCCAAAATTCCCCAATGAAATAAAAGGGCTACTGAAAACCCAGCTTAACCGACAGAGGTCAGCGGCCACTGCACCCCGTCTCCACCAGCTTAAACTCCAGAAGGAGGCCACGCACCCAAGGCGTGCTAACTGGCTGGCTGGGAAGAGGTGAGCATCTACTGAGAAACCCACTGCTGCCCGCAGCGGTGTCAGGCAGCCGGGGGTCTCCCCGCAGTGGCGCAAAGCGGACTGAAGTCGGGAGTGGCTAGGACCCTGCGCTGCCACGGCGGTGCTCTCGGCCAACGCACTCGTGTGCCCTCCGCCCGCCCACACCAGCGTCGCCTAACGGAAGAAGGCGCGAGTAGCAGCGGCGCAGCCAGGGCACCTGGGGGTGACACATGAGTGGGCGGGCGGTCCAGGGAGCCCCTGCTGGAAACCACACGCTAAACCTTGCAGCTGTGCAGCTAAGGGAGCATCTATTTTCCACTTGAGAGCAACCTGGGCAAGCGAGAACGGCCCGATTTCGGTGCAGGGGTGCATCCCGAGGGGGCGGGGGGCTGTTTCTGCGCGGACAGGCGGACCGAGCAGGGGAAACCGAGGCCACGCTGGATCCGCAGCCCCGAGGTGTCCACGAGAGCTCCGCTCGCGCGAGGGCGCGACGCGAGGCTGCCCGCGGGACCGGCCTGCGGTGCGAGCGGGTGAGAGGGCAGGGCGGCGGCGGGGGCCGGGGGGAGGAGGGCGGCGAGGCAGCGTGTGCGAGCAAGTGAGGGTGTGTGTCCGGGCGTGAGTCTGGGCGGGTGTCGGGAAGGAAGGCGACAGGGAGGGGCGGAGGCGGGGGGAGGGGGGAGGAGAAAGAGCGAAGGGCCCAGACGGGACTCTGGGCGCCCAGCCGCCCGGCTTCAAGCCCTCAAGCCACCGCCCCCAGGCCCCGCGCTGACGCTGGACGGTCCCCGCCTCCAAACCCCCCGCCCCGGCCAGAGAATAACTTACCTGTTTGGCGACAGAATCGCTCCTGCTCGCCCCTCTGACTGACTCCTCCGGCTCACCGTCTTCCCTTTGGGAGGAAGAGGCGGGACATCCTGTTTCTCCGTTGAAGGACTTCCGGTGACATCCAGGGCGACTCCGTCGTGGATGCAGCGCCGGATGCCACAGCCGAAAAACAGAATCTTGGAACTGGTTTAGTAAGATCCAGGTCGAGTTCCTTGTTTTTTATCCGAGTGGCCGGCAGGCTCATGTGTTGTCTTGTTTTTAACCCATCAGCTCTTGCCGGAAGCCGCTCGGAGATAAAACAGGAAGTCCCACTCCTCCCTTAGACAAGGAAAACGGAGAGCCGAAGGAGTCAATCTAAATACGTTGAGCGCGTCGGGCTCGAAGGCCGGCTATGTCGACCCGGGAGGAGCGTCTGGGATTTCTAGAGGGTCCCAGAACGGGTTCTTCCCAGGCCGATCCCGCCTGCTTCCTGCCCTGTCCCTCCACCCGGCTCTCGCCCTCAATAAGGGACCCCGAGGGCGGCGCCGGAAACACGGAGAAGGCCCAGAACGGCGCGGGACCCGAGAGGCCTACGCTGGCAAACGCAGCCCGCTGCGTGTCTGCCGGCTTCCCCGGGACCTGGAGTGGCTCCTGTCGCTTCTGGCGCTCCAATTTCGAGAAATGACTTTCAGCTGTGCAAGGCGAGAATGCTACTTTAAACGATTAGAAAAATCTCTCGAATGGCTCCCCAAAATAAGGTCCTTGTTTCAGAGGCCACAGGAAGCCACCAGCCGAACTCTGATACCAAAAAGGAGACCAAGAAGCGGAATGTGGCTTGGTGACCAGTTTGGTATTGCCAAACTTTCAGCTTTTATTAAAGCTGAAACACCTTGGCTGTTTAAAACGTTCGACAAGGACTTTTTATGAACGTTAACGGCCCAGCACACGGGCTTGTTAGGAAAAAAAAAGGCAGGACATCAGGACGTGGTGGTGAACAGCCCGCCTGCCCCTTGTGCAGGTCCATTCATGAACCTCGAGTTGGAGGCCTTTCTTCTGAAACTCAGAATCTAGTAGGGAAGACCTGTGTAGACGAATAAATACATCACAGCTTTGTTAAGTGCTGTGACAAAGACGCGGTGAAATCCTGCTTGAGGTCATCTGCCTTGCTAAAGAGTTTTGACTATGTTGTAGGCGCAGGGTTAGGGATAGGGTAGGGTTAGACTCTGTAATGGAAAGTTATGTGATCAGATTTCTATTTAGGAAGATCATTGGCCGGGCCGGGTGGCTCACGCCCATAATCCCAACAGTTTGGGAGGTGGAGACGGTGGATTGCTTGAGGCTAGGATTTTGAGACCAGCCTGGCCAACATGGTGAAACCCCCTCTCTACTAAAAATTTAAAAATTAACGGGGCGTGGTGGTGCGAGCCTGTAATTCCAGCTACTTGGAGGCTGAGGCGGGAGAATAGCTTGAACCCAGTGCCGCAAGCTGCAGTGAGCCGAGATTGCGCCACTGCACTCCAGCCTGGGCGACAGAGCGAGATTCCATCTGAAAAAAATCATTGTAAGTAATTGGATTTTTTTTTTTTTTTTTTTTTTTTTTTTTTTGGTAATGTTCTGAGGATAGGCTTTCTAGACCGAATCATTACTCAAGGCCAATTCCAACACAGTTCAGTTTAAATCAGAATACATTCAAGTGATAATTAGTTACCTTTTTAAATAGTTCATAGAGAACTTTTCGTAGACATTATCTGTTTTAATTCTGATTGTAATCCACATGAATTCTCTTATCCACAGTAAGGAACAGTAATTTAGAAGACTCTAATAAACTGTTCCAAGATCACACAGCTAGTAAAAGTGGAACTCAACCTTAAACTCCAGAGTCAACCTTTTCCATCTATCATGTGGACTCATTTTAATAGTAATAGTTATTTTAAAATTCTAGAGAAAAATGTGGAAAACAATTTCCTTACAACAGGTGACCAGCTGTGGATGTTATTTTTATTCCATTAACCAACATTTATTGGGTCCCTGTTATATAAAAGATAAAACTGGGTTCAGCCTTCAAAGAGTTCACTTGAAATTTAAAATTTATTTGAAAATTTAGTACTTCCTACTCTTTTAATAGCTATTTCAGCACTGTTGGTCTTGTATAACAAGGTGATAAATTTCTTAACAATGACAGTAGCACAATTCTGTATATGGATTGGGCATTCTGTGATCTTTGGGTGGTTTATCTTGCTACCTTTCTTACCTTGGGGATTTAGTTAACATTTATCTTCCTCCCTTGAGCAGTGAAGTAAAATCTAAGTTTATGTTTCAGTTCTATTTTGAGTATTTTGAGTTACTCAAACTCTAAGGAAGTCAGTTTGACCTCATTTCCAACTGAGAGATTCCACTGCTCTCATTCAAGACTAATTTTCTGATTCTAAGGAAAAAGGGAAGTCTTTTTTTTTTCCTTCCTCTCTTTCTTTTTGAATGAATAATGCTTGACATGGACAACACAGACTTGTAGTGAATACAGAGCGTCCTAGTGATGAAACCACCTTTGCAAAAATTACAACAGAAAATTATGACAGTGAAAGAGATCTGACCTCACCAACTCCATCTTGCTTCTAAACTCCAAGCTGTCCTTGTTCATTCCTGGGTATAGGCAGAACTAACTTTGGGAGGAACTTAGTTTATAGTATAAGTTTGAAACAAAGATGATAACAGCCCATTCTGAAAACAAACCCCCTTCTAGCCTGGAGACCAGACTGCCTTTGTAGGACTAACAAATTAGCCACAAGATTAGAAATTATGGTTTGGGAGTCATGCAACTAGAGGCCACAAGATTCTAAACCTCCCCAATTGCTCCTAAGGATAACATCACTATTGTAAAACCCAAGATTGGTGCTTGAGACGTTTTTCAGACCCGCACTCATAGATCAGCTAGCACCACTGAGATGGATAAACTGGCTCATCTAGTCCTTTGGCCCCCACCCAAGAACTGACTCAGTGCAAGAGGACAGTTTCAGTTCCCTGTGATTTCATGTCACACCAGAGCAACCAATTCTCCCCACTCCCTGGTCTTCTACTCCCCAAATTATCCTTTAAAAATCCCAGTCTCTGAATTTTCAGGAGACTGCTTTAAGTAATAATAAAACTCTGGTCTCCTGTTTAGCCAGCTCTGTGTGAATTAAACTCTTCATTGCAGTTCCTCTGTCTTGATGAATCCACTGTGTCTGGGCAGCGGGCAAGATGAACTCGTTGGGTGGTTACAGTGACACAAGGAACCCCTGGGGTCAAGACCTCCTCGAAGCCAGCCCCACTTGAGACCTGTTAACCAAAAAAAAAAAAAAATCCTTTTCTTATTTAAGTCTAGTTTTCTTTTACTTGCACCATGAAGCAGCCTAAATGATTCAGAAGTTTTATTGCCAAATCTACCAGTTACAGTCTTAAGAAAGTTGCAAAGGACAAACTCAGAGCAAAGATTTTCAGTCTTCATAAATTCAAAATGTATGCTTTTATCGTGTCTGAGAAAAGAAAGCAATCAATATATTCACATCTTTTTCTGGGTATATGTGATTTTTTTCCATTGGATAATGAATAGTAAACACTTTTACAATAGCAAGTTGACAAAATGAGGATGTATAAAATTAAAATATATCAACTATTAAATAAATGCCAGGCATTATGCTACAAACCATATATGCATTATTTCAATTAATCTAACTACTCTAAATAGATACATCATTTGCATTTTACAGATGAGAAAAATGACGTTCAAAGAAGTGACGTCATGTTCTTTGATTCTGTCTATATTGGGTACCTGGTGACGATTTCCCTCTGTCTAATACCTTAAACATCTGTTCACCTGCATGCTGCTTCTGTTCTGGACCTCTGCGCTGGATATAGTCCCAACAGAGTGGCTTGCTGGGAGGAGGGAGATACTTTTCAGATAAAGCACTAGCACTTCATCCTAACAACTTCTTCATACTGAGGCAACATTTTTAAATACACACAGAATGCCTAGGATTCAACTGTTGAGAAAAACTGATGTAAGTCTGTTTGTCTCAAAGAAAGCTGTCAGGAACTACAGTTTTATTAACCTAAATGAACACCTGGTTTGATGATGACTATGTAAATGTATTTTTAGCTAATTAATTTATTTCTGCCCATCAGCCAATGAGTGGATAAAGAAAATGTGATATATATACACTATGGAATACTACTCAGCCGTAGAAAGGAACAAAGTAATGGTGTTGGCAGCAACCTGGATGGAGTTGGAGACCATTATTCTAAGTGAAGTAACTCAAGAATGGAAAAGCAAATATTGTATGTTCTCACTCATAAGTGGGAGCTAAGCTGTGAGGATGCAAAGGCATAAGAATGATATAGTGGACTCTGGGAACTCGAGGGGTGAGGGATAAAAGACTACACATTGGGTACAGTGTGCACTGCTTGGGTGATGAGTGCACCAAAATCTCAGAACTCACCACTGAAGAACTTCCCCATGTAACCAGAAACCACCTGTTCCACAAAAACTATCGAAATAACATTTTTTAAACTTTACTATTTCTGGGTAAAATTTACATAGATTTCTCAGAAAAAAAAAATATTTAGAATTGAGGTATCTATTAGAGAACTGAGTTAAATTATTACCACTTAAAAACACAAAGTGGTATAGCCACTTTATGAATTTATCAGTTAGCAATGGTTAGGTTAAGCTTAGTGGTTTATAACCAAATCTTAGTAGTTTATAATAACAAATGTGTATTGTTAATTCCCACTACAAATTTATCAAGACATTGCTGGATGCTATACTCCATGTCTCTTTGTGGGACCCAGGCTCATGGGACTTCCATTATCTGCATTAGAGAGAAAGAGAAGTCAACAAAACTTGCACTGGTTCTTGAAGCTTTGGCCCAGAAGTAAAATATATCTTCTCTGTTCACATTGCATTGGGCCAAGGAAATTATCGTGGCCGCAAGTGACTTAAAAAGGATGGGGAAGTGCAATCTTGGCATTGTCAGAAGAAATGAAAACATTTAGTGAAGAGCATTAATGACTGTCTTCACAGGAAAAAAACAGAATCAAATAGACATGATTTCTTGTTTCAGTTTCATCATTTCCTACTGTGTTACCTAAACTTTCTGAGCCTCAGTTTCTTATTACTAAAATAGAATCATGATAAAGATGATATTCACTTCAAGGACTTTGTGTTAACTATGGTAAAAAAAAAAAAAATTGAAAACTGTAGCAAGTTATGCAAATTAGAAATGTATAATATTACTGCTTTGAAAGTGATGGTGAAATGTAGAATAATTGAGAGGATAACGCAAAGCACTTATACCAGGAAGCTTTTAGCTGCAGATAATAGAAATGAACTTCCACTACTTTAATCAGTAAAAAAGTGTGTTGGCTCACAAATTTGTCATCCAGACATAAAGGAGGCTTCAGAATTTTTTGACTCAGGAGTTGAATGTTAGTATCGAGGACCTAGATTTTTCTCATCTGCACTTCAATTCTCAATGCCCGATTCAACATCAGGCTGTAGTAAGATGGCTAGAGTGATTCCAGGGATAACATCTAGAGAGAAAAAAGAGAACTCCTTTTCTTACGATTTTTCTCTTAAGAGAAAAGGAACTTCCCAAAAGCCCCCAGCAAGCATGCCTTCACATCCCATGGCCAAAAGTGGCTCACATACAGTACCCTGAGCTAAGCACTGCAAACAGGAATGGGATTGCCCGTAGGCCTCAGAGATCACCTGGATCTTGGGAAGGTGTCAGCTCTACCTGTGGCATTTGGCTGAGTGGGAAAGGGATGGAAACATGAATAAAGTAAGAATTAGGAAGGAAAAGGAGAAATGGATCCAGGGTAGGAAGCCAATAGTTGTAGTTATCTCAAATATGATTGATTTCATCTTTATAAATGTGATGACCTAATTTAATACATTCAATCAATGAAGTAAAAGAAAGTGCAAGGACAATATGACATCTGTCATTCTCTGTTGAGATTTGAGAGATAATACCAAGAACGTGTGGTGACCTGCGTCCTCACTGCTACTGTCTTTCTGTACCTGGACACTTCCTAGCAAGAGACTTCAACTTCAGAACAAAGAGGATCCCAACTTGTAACTGCATTATACACACCCCAGCCGCACACATAAGTTGCTTTCTAATTATTCCTCTTTAAGAAATTGTTTGTAGAATATCTATGTATAAATGGAAAAATAGAAAATTAAAATAACAAAAATAAGTAACACCATGTATTGAGTGTCTACTGCATGCTAGGTGCTGTGCTAAGTGTTCTACATATATTGCCATTGTGCTGCCAACGACTCTGCAATCAAGATGTTCCCATTCCTACTTTACAGCTAAGGAAACCAAGGCTCAGAGAAATAACATATTTTGTACAAGATTATCCAACTGGTAAAATCTGGAGTCCGAATTTGAACCAGAGTCCACTCAACACACTTTCACCTCTACACCAGTGCTTTCTGAGTTTGCTGCACATTAGAATCACCTCAGGAACTTAAAAAAAAAAAATCCCAGGTGATACCCCATAGCAAGAAAAGTAGAAAGTCGGGCAGGGGAAGAGGAACCCAGGCATCAGTACTTCTTAAAGTCCCCAGGTAATTCCAATATGGAGGAAAGTTTGGGAACCATTGTGCTATATTATGTTGCCTCTTCAGCCAGGAATTTAAACCAGAATCTTTTCTTCCAAGGCCAAGAGCAGTGAATGATAGCTTAGGGGCTTATGGTGTATACTCTCATTCCCAAGTGATCCTCTTTCTCAGGAGTTCTGCTTTAGAGTAACTAATTTCAAGTTTCCCTTTCACTGCATTTCTCACCCATCCAAAGCTAAAAATATTACAGGAGACTTTTGTCAACAGGAAGAATGGACACCTGAACCATCTCAGAAGAACTTTTGAATTCATGATCAATGGCATGTTTTACCTAATTAGGATCAATGATCAATGGTTTGTTTTCCCTAATTAGGATAAAAAAGCCAGAAAAAATATTAAGTTTAATTTTCTTCTTACAAAGTAATCACTTAGACTCACCTGGAATTTAGAGAGCATTTAATTTCTGGCCTCATTTTTTTTTTTTTGGCTTTGTAATTTTTATTTTAATATAATTTTGGACTTACTATAAAACTTATTAAAAGGACAAAGAACTTCCATATACCCCTCACCCCGATTCTATAATTATTCACATTTTACCATATTTTATGGTTTATGCATATTTTTTGTGAACCACCACAATGCAATTATCAAAATCAAGTTATAATACTTCTCCCTAATAATCAGACCTTACTCATATTTTTGCACACATTTTTTTGTCTTGTTCCCCTATATTTTTTACGTATAACCTCCAAAAAGGTTTATAGCTGAAAGTTATAGATAAAGCATAAAGTGAATAGTAAAATGAGAAGCCTTAATTCAACTGTTATTAATGATATTAAATGTTAGTGACCAAGCATTCCATTTAAAAGGAAGAGATTACCAGAATGGATTAAGAGGCAAATCTTAGCCATCTGACGTCTATAAGATGTTTGTTAAATTAAAAGATATATTTAAATGTCTTCTGGCCTCTATTTGCTTCTGATAAGCAATTAGAGGCCATTCAGATCTTTGTTTGCCTTTATGTTTCCTTATATGTCATTTGTCATTTTTGCTGTCTGCCTTAAAGAATTTCTCTTTATTTTTGGTTTTCCATAATTTGTGATATGACTAGACACGATTTTCATCTGATTTTTCCTGCTCAGCACTTTCTGACCTTTAGAAATCTGTAAGTATATGTCTTTCACAAAATTTGGGAAGTTTGGGACCATTATTTCTCCAAATAATTTTATTTTACTCTGTTTCTCTTGGTTTCCAATTAAATATGTCACACCTTTTGATATTATATGCAGCTAACCAAACCTCTGTCCTCTTTTTCCATTATTTTTTCTCTGACCTTCAGGTTGATAAGTTCTGTTGATCTATCTCCCATGTTCCCTGATTCCTCCTTCTGTCACATCCACCCTTCTGTTAAAATCATCTCATGATTTATTTCAGATATTATATTTTTAAGTTCTCAAATTTTATTTTTTTCCTTATAATTTCTGTTTCTGATGAGATTTCCTATTTGCTTATTTATTACAGATGCATTTTCCTTTATGTCTTTAAGCACAGTTATAATAGCTACTTTGAAATTTTGTCTGCTGATTTGAATATCTGGAGTATCTTGATGTTAATTCTCATTAATTTTCCCATTTATTTTTATTATGACTCATGTTTTCTTATTTCTTAAATGTCTAGCAATCTTGTGGTTGTATCCTAGACATTTGAGAAATATAGTGCAGAGATTCCTGATTCTATTATGTTCCTCTGACAAGCATTAGAGGGTTTTTTGTTTCTTTGTTTTGTTTTAACAGGTAGTTCCTTTGGCTGTATTCATACTCCAAACATTTTCTCTCCTTTCATGGGGAGCAACTAAAATCTCATATAGTTCTTTAGCCTTTGCTGAAAGGATTGAATCTGCCTCACACATGCATAGTTCAGAGATCAACCAGTGGTTTAGGCAGAGTATGCTGAATTTGTTGCTTTTTCTCTGTTGATCTCTCCTTTTCAGAGCCCTCTCCCCTTACTTTTACCTGCCAAAGTATCCCTGAACTCTGCCTTCTGGGACTGAAAGTGGGATTTTAAATAAACTATAGATGGCTTCCTTTATTTGGTTATTATTATTTAAAATTTGAAGGAAGCGATGGTCATTTTTGGTGACTAGTCATTTTTGATGACTAATTTAAGTGTCATTTAAAGTTTCATTTCCTTTAAATTAACATTTTTTGTCATTCCATTCAAGTGCCTACTCACAATGGCAATAAGAATATGCTATGAACACTTAACCTCCCACACTAGAATTTTAAATCTGAGTTCTTTTCCAATGCTGTTTTGGTGAATTTCAGTGTGGGAGGTGAGATGATTTAAAGCTTTAGATTTTCTGTTATAGTCAAAGGCATAATTTATCTGACATCTTTGTTCATCCTGCATAAGGAATAACACTAGAATAATGTTTTTAAATAACATGTGTCCGCATAATGACATTTTTTTCTTTTCAATTCTATCCAAACTAAAATAGCTCCGAAGTGTTTACTTATCATAACTATTAAGAAATTATACTTGCCAGGCGTGGTGGCTTATGCCTGCAATTCCAGCACTTCGGGAGGTCGAGATGGGTGACCTCCACTTGAGGTCAGGAGTTTGAGACCAGCCTGGCCAGCATGGTAAAACCCCATCTTTACTAAAAATACAAAAAAGTAGCTGGGTGTTGTGGTGGGCGCCTGTAATCCCAGCTACTCGGGAGGCTGAGCCAGGAGAATCACTTGAACCTGGGAGGTGGAGGTTGAAGTGAACCAAGATCACACCATTGCTCTCCAACCTGGGCAACAAGAATGAAACTCAAGAAAGAAAGAGAGAAAGAGAGAGACAGAGAGGAAGGAAGGAAAAGGAAAGGAAGAGGAGGAGGAAGGGGAAGAAGAAGAAAAGAAGAGAAGATAAATTATACTTATTACACCTGCTATCACTTCTCTTCTACATCACGCTGGGAATTAAAAAGAATGCATCATTTTGTTGCTTCAGAAAATCTCCTGCATTCTTGTCTTTGTGTTTTATCAATTTATTAGGACTTTGGACAGCTGAGCAAAGTATAGAACATATCCAACCCAACCTCTGCCTTACAAGAACATACTTCTTAAAGAAGAAAGTTTTCTCAACATGGTAAAGAGGAAGATGAGCTTTCTTACTTGTTAAGTGCTCTGCAATATAGAATGTAGATGTTATATAGTTGGTCAGTGGAAGAGCAGAAGGAATATGTGCTACTGTTAGGACTTGGTTTAAGTTTTTCTGCGTTATGAAAGGCAATAGTATTACAGATCATTATCATAGTTATGCTAGATCTAACCATTGTACATTAAGATAGAAACAAGTATTTTATTTTGTCTTGTATAATCAAGACCTCAAATCATGATTTTTTAGCCATTACATATACAATTAATATTCAAACTTGATGTGAAAAATAATATTAAAAATGACAGATAACACTGAATTCATTTTAAAGTAGACATTTAAAATAGTATAGTACACTTTTTCTTTTTTTAAGAGACAGGATCTCCCTATGTTGCCCAGGCTGGTCTCAAAACTGGGATCCTCCTGCCTCTGCTTCCCAAAGTGCTAAGATTACAGGCATGATCCACCACGCCCTGTCATTAAAATAGTATAGTATACTGTCTACTAAACTAGATTGTGTTTAAAAGTCATTTGGCCCTCTCATGAAATTTGTTTGGGAATTTGTTTTTAAGTGAAGACAGATATCTGTAGAAGTGAGAAGCCAGATAAAATAGCATTTGTTTTCTTTGGTGAGCTTTCTCCTTACTCTGCTTCTTCTAAGAACTTTGTTGAGCATGCCTTAAGGGTCAGGTGCTAGGCTTCGTAATCTCCTCAGCTTAACTTCTTGTCACCTGCAGGAATGGCAGAGTAGTGTCATCTAACTCCGTCTTCTGATTGCTCAAGAGGAATCGTGTGTGTGTGTGTGTGTGTGTGTGTGTGTGTGTGTGTGACACATTCCAGTTTGGGAATGTTGGCTTCCCATTCAAAAGTGCTTAGGCCATCGTGAAAGCCACATCAGCGGGGGTGAGGGAGCCAGTGCAGGGCTCCTGGGCTTCTGGTTTGTGGCCTCTCAATGAAGGTGTGGCCCCTGGTAAGATACAAGCACTGCTGGGAAGCCTAACACATTGAACATTATTAGCTATTGATACCTCTGCATGGCTTGTTTTCTGTGCTTCTCCCCAGCACTAGCTGCTCCAAGAAAGTTTCAAACTAGGAACAACGTGAAGTGGAGAGCATAAAGACAAGTGAAGTCCAGGAAAGGTATAGCACACCTGGTAGGGAAGACCCCAAAAATCGCAGCTGCAGAGTCAAGAGGAAGATGTTAACAATCATACTGATCACCTAATGTGTGCAGCACACCCCACTGGATGCCTGAAATGCAGAGATTAGTAGGACATGGTCTCTGATATTATAGAGCTTGAAGTTTAATAGGAGGGAGAGAGATGCACAGAAATCATGAATGTGCATTGCAGCATGAGAATGGATGATATAAATGTTGAAATCATTCATTTCAGTGTTTAAAATGTTTCCTGATGACATGCAGTATGCCTGGAACTTTCAAGACACCATGATAGACAAAACAGACATAATCTCTGCCTGTAAAGATGTTACAGTCTAGCAGGAGAGCTGGCAGTTTTTAAATTGTAGAAATACAATCATACATCACTTAATAGGGATACTGAGAAATGTGTCCCTGGACATCTTCAACCACCCTAGAGTGTACGCACACAAGCCTAGGTGGCATAGCCTACTACACGCCTAGGCGGTATGATGTGGCCTATTGTTCCTAGGCTGTAAACCTGTGCAGTGTGTTCCTGTACTGAATGTTATAGGCAGTTACAACACAGTAGTAAGTATCTATGTGTGTAAACACAGAAAAAGGTACAGTAACAATATGGTATTGTAATCTTATGGGACCACTGTCATATATGTTTGTTGTTGGCCAAATTGTCAGTATGTGGTACATGACTATGTATTTAACGACAATGATAATAAATGCTACAAAGAACTATGGAGACTATGGTAGCGTAATAGGGACACCTCACTTACTCATGAGGAATAAGAAAAACCTCCCCTGAAAAATTACAACTAAACCAAGATTTGAAGAATTATGTGGAGGGAGGGGTATTAGCGAGACCAAGGGGGTTGTAAGGGTGTTGCCGGAGGAGGGAGAGACTGAGAAGGCTCTGAGGCAGGGAAGCTCTTAGATGTTTGCGAAACTGGGAGAATTTGAAGGATGGGGTTGTCAGGGCATAGCTAGTGACAGCAGAGCAAGCCAGAAGAGTAAGCAGACAGCAAGTTGTGCAGGACTGGTAGACCTTCTTGGGATGTCAACAGACCATGTCGCCAGTTGAGAGCTTTAAGCAGGGTGAGAGGGACAAGCCGGCTGCAGCATGGCGCATCCAGTGAGAGGGGCTGTCGCGTAAGCAGAGACTGGTTAGGGCTTCTGCAATAACCCAGCAAAACTTAAGAGCGTTGGCTTATGAGCTATGCGAGGTGACAGTAGAACTAGAAGGAAGTGGTGGCTTTTGAGAAAGGGGCTGGACTGGCCTTGATACTGAATTGGATTGGAAAGAGAGGGAAGTGTGGAAGACGGTGCAGGGCTCTGCTATCAACTAGCCGATGGTCCACTTACCAAGGTAGGGAGCACCAGAGGGGAAACGGGCTCTGGGAAGGGATGGAAGTTTTCGTACTAGGTGAGTAGTTTCAGATGTGAAATGGGCAGGAAGATGGGTGGGCCTGGTTCTTAGAAGAGGGGGCTGGGCTGGGAGTCATGGGCATCTGGCAAGTACAAAGGCCAAGGAGTTCCCAGCATGAGTGTGAACAGTGAGAAGTGGCCGGGAGCAAGCCCTCAGGAGAGCCCTCGCTCACTCCCTTCTCCCAGCAGCAAGTAAGTGCAAAGCACAGTGTCACTGACCAGGGCTCTCGTGCTGTCTGGCGCACAATCACCAAAGTTTCCAGGCCAGTACGTTTTATTTTTATTAATACAACAGAAAGCCAGAAACATTCCCAGCTTCATTGTTTTCCCGAAGAGCACCTACTAAACCCAAATGATATTCCTAACCCCTAAACCTCATCACAATAGTTACCCTTTAATACACTACATCTACTAACAAAGCTGGATACATTGCCCTCCTCCATTACAATAAGGTCCCCCCCGAAGGGCATGTCACAATGTACCCCCAACTATACTGGGTGATCGTTTTTGTCCATGTGCATATATTTCGTCATTAAAATGTTAAAAAACAAATATTTCGATTTCTGTCTGCCTTAACGTTTTTGCCTCCGTATAATTGGTTAATATGTCTGAATAACAACTGAGTAGCTTTCTCTTATCCCTTTGAGTATAAGGAACTTGGAATATACTCCTTTCTGACTCCCACATCAGGGTAGGTTAACCACAGGGCTCAGAATTGAGTGGAAAACCAGGAGGGAAGAGCTGGGGAGACTCATGCTGACCCTGGGTGACAGAAAAACGTGGACTCTGAACTCTGGCAATCCAGGTTTGGAATATCCTAGATTTTACAACCTCCACAACTATTCATTCTCCTCCCCTTCTCTCCTGGCAGCAACGTAATAATTAACTGAGACACTGCTGGTCTCAGAAAGATTCAGCAGGAATGAAGATCAGCAAATACATCTTGTTGTTCGGTGACTTCTTAAATCTGATGGTACATTAGTCAGAAATGCTTACAGTGTATTTTATAATAAACTTTTGTTAATGGACTAACATGACGACTCTAAATCTCTCGCACTGTTAGTCCTTAGCTGCAATGCCAAATACATCAGGTAGGTTCAACAGAATCGAGAAACACCACGAAACCCTGCATAATTAGATGAGCACAAACTACGCTTAATAGCACAAAATACCAAACACCTGCCACCGTTCTGTAACGAGAGCTTGATATTCTATAGAATTAGAGATGTGGTGGCTTGAAGCCTCCTGCTTCCAAAGCAAACACTAACTGGAATCCTTCACAAATACCCACAACTAGGTTGAGCCCTCAGTTGGGTCCACTTCTGTGACTAGAATCAAGGTGAACGGAATCACTGACTGCCTGCTCCAGTCCTTTTAAAGGTGGTACAGCACGTTTTTAAACTGACATCTCAAGAACCAACAGAGTGATGGAAAAAAGTTGGACACAAATGTGTTTTGCTTTGTTTTTATTTGGAGTCATAATAGAAAAATGTTAATAAGCCCCTAAATTATTCTCCATTAATGTGATTTAAATCGTAAACTCATATTGATTTGTTTATATACACTCAACTGTAGAAAAATGACTTTGTTTTTTTTTTGTTGTTTATACCATCAAATCCAATCAAGCCAAACAAGATGGTTAACTAAAATGATTAATGAATGCAGCATTAGCTGATGGCTTTAAATTTAGCATGTGTTACTGATGTCAGGGTTGATTAGTTCTCTATCTAAAACTGATGCTATTAAAAGCTTTGAGCAATTTAGATGTTGTCATTGAGTAAAATTTCAATGCGGTGAGAGAAATTCTATCAGGATTAATTCTGCTATGGTGCAGCATGTGCACAGATGTTGGATAGAGAGAGAGTGGGCCTTTTCTGATGGGACAGGAAGAAGGAACGGGAGGCAGAGAAGCTGACAAGGTGGCATCAATCTCAGGAAAGGTAAAGAAGCTTGGAATGAAAAAAAAATACTCATCTTTGCACAAGGACTCCCAAATGGCATACGGGTATGAATATTGATCATTTCAGCTTCAGAACTTTTCAAGAAGTGGGAAAAAATAAATGAAGGGAAGGCAAGAGGTTAATATAGTACCATGCTTTAGTAACTCCTCTGAAAATGAATCCACGGGGAAATCATTGTAGTCAGTGGTGGAGACCAACATTTTTATTAATAAGATAAAAGGAAAGAGTGGTAAAGCAAAGGCGATCATTGGATGGAATGATTATGTGTCATGAGCACTTGAGGACCTAGAAAGCAAACCGGAGTGATTATGCCAATCAAATTGCAAGGTCAGAGACATGCTAAAAGATTAGAAGGAATCCAATCCTGGGGCTATTTCACGGAACTTGGGGAAATCAAGTTGCTGCAAGTCGCTGTGACTTGAGGAAGGTGTGCAGTGGGGGACCTTAAACCATTTCCAACATCTGTGCCTTTGAAATATTTTATTATTGATCCAGATATCCCAAGACATTTTAAATGGAAGGGAAAATGTACTATACTAGACCCAAATTCTCTGGATATTTAGATTCCATCCCTGTCTAGGGATGTGGGGGAGGTGAATCTGTCAGTGGATCACATCAGACTAGAAGGTTCTTGTGATTAATGCAGCTGGGCCATCTCTAAGAAAAAGGCAGCAAATAATTTGGTTCCCTCTATGTAGTTCCACCTAAGAAGAGGAAAAACAGAGAAATGTTGTTACAATTTCCATTCAAATGAAGGAGGAAAAATATTCTGTCATTTAGACAGGAAGATTTGATGTTATAAATTCCATCTAAATTATTTAACATACTTCTGAGATCCCAGTATGAAAGGCACTTAGTAAGTTCCATGTGAAAAATGCATTATTATTATTAAGAAGATGAGAATCAGTCCTAGACTCAAATCTAAAAGTCAGTTTTCCTTGATTTCTTATCACCAACATGACATGGATATCAGGGTCGAACAATTTCTTGTTTCTCACTAGTCCGGGAGGCTAAAGAGATCTTGTAGTATCTACCAGTAGTGCATAAAGCAAACATTCCTAAATGGCCTTTTTTGTTATGCACTTCACATTTGTGTTTCCTCGAAGTTCGGTGTTGAAGCCCTAACCCCTCAGTGTGTCTGTATTTGGAGACAGGGCCTGGAGGAGATGATAAAGGTTAAATGAGGTCAAAATGGGGGTCCTAATCCAGTGGGGCTGGTGCCCCTATAAAAAGGGAATGAGACACCAGGGCCACCTAACCCCACCATGTGAGCACAGGGACAGCCAGGAAGACAGCCGGCACCCACCAGGAACCAAATGGGCTGGCACCCGATCTAGGGCATCCAGGCTTCAGAACTGTGAGGAATCAATGTCTGTTGTTTAAGCCCCCAGTCTGTACAATTTTCCATTCTCACATAAATTGAACAGGAGGTCACCCATGTGTAGACCCGTGTGTGTGCAGTAAAGGAAGAAGAGAGAGGCACATTGCACAGGCACCAGCTGACCTGTTGATTTTCTCATTCTGTGAGTGTTCTCCATCATCAACAGCTCCCAGCGGAATTAGCACCACGCTCTTGTGGACAATCTCCTGGAACATTTTGGCAATTGGAATGGTGGATCCATCCCGGATCATATCTGGTTCTGTTCCAAACACTGAAACAGGAAAAGAAGGCATTTGAATAGGGTAAGGACAAGACCACCCCCAGTAAGCTCCTCAAGGGCAGTGCCTCCTTTACCTTCCTCTTTCTTTTTCCTTGTTAATCTTTCTTTGTTTTTACCATTAGATTTGGTGCCTGGGGTAAGGAAACCCCTTGATATCATGCAATTATATTCTAATATAGACGCTAGAGTCAAGAAGAAAACTATGGATGTCTTCTTCACAATTACCTACTTCAAAAAAGATTTTAGAGCCAGGTGTGGTGGCTTACGCCTGTAATCCCAGCACTTTGGGAAGCTGAGGTGTGTGGATCACTTGAGGTCAGGAGTTTGAGACCAGCCTGGCCAACATGGTGAAACCCTGTCTCTACTAAAAATACAAAAATTAGTCGGGCATGCTGGCACATGCCTGTAATCCCAGCTACTCGGGAGGCTGAGGCAGGAGAATCGCTTGAACGTGGGACATGGAGGTTGCAATGAGCCGAGATCTTGCAACTGCACTCAGGCCCGGGTGACAGAGTGAGACTCTGTCTCTAAATAAATAAATAAAATTGTAAATAAAAATTTTATTTTGAACTAATTTTAGAAAAGTTTAGCATTTAGAAAAGTTTAGCATTTAGAAAAGTTGCAAAAATAGTACAGAGAGAGCTCCCATCTATCTCTTACTCTGCTTTCCCTAATGTAAACGTCTTATGCAACTATTGCAAAATGATCAAAACAAGGAAACTGACAATGGTTCAATGTTGTTAACTCCACTCCAGACTTTCGATTTCACCAGTCTTTCCCTTTTTCCATTCCAGGATCTGATCCAGAATCCACACTGCTTTTTTATTATTGCTTCTTAGTTTCTTGTATGCTGTGGACGTTTCTCACTATTTCCTTGTCTTTCATGACCTTGACCATCTTGAAGCTTATCAGTTGGTAGTTTTGTAAAATATCACTCATTCTGGGTTTGTCTGATGTTATCTTGTGATTGCAAGAGGTCATGCATGTTTGGCACAACACAAGACAATGTGCCTACCTTTATTGTTTCTTCATGCATTAAATATTATGAAGTGGGACTTCTTTGGATTTTTTGGTGACAGATATGCCAATAGCTGTACTATCACTCAAATATCACAATGTTTCTGGCAATTTTCAAAGTATTGCACAAAATAGTTTTAACTGCTATCCTAGGTTTTAGAAAGAGATTATTTCAAACCTTCTAGCTTAGAGGACATGCTGCCAGTGATGCAGTGGGATGAAAAATGAAACAAAGAAACCAGAGAGAACATGTCACCTCTTCTTTACTCTTCTTTACACAGCAAGATGTGATGGATGTGAATCGAAGTAATGTATCTTGTTAGTAGAACCAGTTTAGCACACAAACAGACCGAAAGGTGTCTTATACATTCCTGAAAGGCTATTTCAGATTTATTTATTGTTGTCAACTGGGGTATTTCAAACGCACACCTCTCTTCAGCTGCCATTACATTTCTTCAATCCTAAAGTTTACTGGCAAAATACCTGCTAAGGTTGGGGGCAGCAGGAATGGTGATGGAAAGAAGCATGGCTCCCTGTCATGGACTTGTTCCCTAGTTTTCCGTGTCTGTGTCCGTTGTACTGATAAGCCCGAGAGAGAGTTAGTGCTTCAAGGAGATCTAGGCTTCCCTTTCCGGCTTTGCCACCATTAGCCAATGTGGCCTCAGGTATCATCTGTAATAGGATGCCATAGGTCTACCAAAATGCATGCCACTGCTTTTCCACCTAGCTTTTGGAGAGACCTAGAACTCCCTGCTTTGGGAAGAGCCCCCATTCTGCTATTGTTGGCAGGGTCCCCCTCCTGGTGCAGAAGCCAAAGAGACTGGGTGTCCCTGCTCCCTGATGCACAACCAGCACCCAAGTACACGCCCTCTGCTCAGCCCAGCACATGGCTCTACCCAGGACCTTGAAATGCATGGAATTAAAACAGGCACCACCAAAGAAGTTCGAAATAGAGCTGTGCTGCCTTCTGGGGAAGCGACGTGGCATTGTGAAGAGACCACCGGCTTTAGGGTCAGACACACTGGAATTGGGTTTCTCGTGTGTTTTGCAATTGTATACAGCGAGCTCATCTCCAGGAGGCTCCTGTGGAATCTCCTTGGCCTGCCTGGGGCTGTGTCCTCCTGGGTAATGCCGTGCTTGCATCAGCAGGCAGTCCAGCCATGGCACTAGTGAGAACCAGACCATGCACTAGCTAAAAATTAAACACCCAAACCCACAGGAGCAAGGGTCCATGGTTAAAAATTCTCAGGGGAGACCTTGTGTCCATCCAACGTCCACGCAAAGGCAGTCAAGCTTACACACGCAGGATAGGTGTGGCTTTCCGGGGATGCCCTGCCTGCGTATAGTGGGTCTCCTTTTCAACTTCCTGCCTCACTCTGGCCCAAGGCCATTAAAGTTCCAGTCTCTTTGTGACCAGGAAGAGCAGATCCCTGCAGGCCAGCCCAGGGTCTGCTTATTCACTCCCCTAGAGTTTAGCTTCTTCATTTTCAATCCTAAAGGATTCCCTCTGATGTCGTACAAGCTAAGCTGTGTTTTTTTGTTTTTCATTTTTGAGACAGGGTCTCACTCTGTCCCCTAGGCTGGAGTGCAGTGGCATGATCACAGTTTGCTGCAGCCTTAACCTCCTGGGCTCAAGCCATCCTTCTGCCTCAGCCTCCTGAGTAGCTGGCATTACAGGCGCATGCTACCACACCCAGCTAATTTCTATATTTTTTGTAGAGATGGGGGGGGTCTCACCATATTGCCCAGGCTGGTCTCGAACTCCTGAGCTCAAGTGATCCTCCTGCCTCTGCCTCCCAAACTGCTGGGATTATAAGATTGAGCCATCACACCTGGCCTAATCTGTGTTTTCAAAGGATGTTTTTACATGTTGGCCAACATTTCTATGAGTTTTGTATCAGGGGGTTTGAAGGTTTTCTAGTGCATCATTTTCCCCAAAATTCAGGTCTCCAGACTTCAATTTGAGCACAGGTTTTGCCACTTGTGAGCTGGGCACCCTTTGGCAAAATACTTCATGTCTGTAAACCTGCATTTATTCCTCTGTTAGATGGGGAAGGCCACTGGGAGGATGACTTGAGATGGCGTGTATAGCGTGCCCTGCACATGACATGCATTCAACAATGTCCTCTATATTAAAAGGAGAGTTGATTTCTGAGTTTTAAAAGTGTCTGCTTTACCCATGGTCCCACAGGTACCACCCCTGAGTCCCAGTGCAGATTGGCCAGTCAGAAGATCTTAAGGTCCCACCTGTTCTGATGGCTCTTTTTGCTGCGAGATACTGGGTGTCGTTAACATTTGCGATCCATGGGTGTAGTCCTAGAGTCATGGAAACAACCATCTTGTTGGAACTATTTCTTTTGGAGAACACATCTTCAAGATGCCGTGTCACCTAAAAGGTGATGTTTTCAATAATAAGAGAAAGTGTCAGGTTATTCTCTCATACAGTTAATATAGTCTTCCATCAAGAAACTGATTAATACAGTTAATATAGTCTCTTCCATCAGGAAACCGAAGGCCCTAACCTGACACATGCAAGTGTTGTGATTTTTCCTTCACTCTGCCAAGGGGCGAAAGTGAGATCCTTCTTCAGTGCTGAGAGCAGGAAACCCTGGGCTGCACCCAGAGGGAGATTCTCCTCTATCCTCCTCCCCACAATCCTGGCCCCAGCCCACCCCCTTCCAACCACAGCGTCTCACACACGGAGGTGCTGGAGCATTGCCTGTTGAAAGTGATGAAACCTAACACAGCAGGACTTCTCTTTTGAATCGTCCTCTTTTAGGACTCCTCAGTACCCTCTGAGTGATTTGGGAGCATTAAGCATTTGGAAATTTCCAAGACGTGGGAGCAACTCCGGGCTCAACTATGGAGGAGGCTCATTTCAGCCTCATTCTCTCCCCTCCTGCTCTTTTCTCATTGTTACTGTGGAGAGCCTCCCGGGAAGGTGCCATACTCAAACTTCTTCCATTAATTACCTCAACACACATTTACAGAACATGTGTCATGTCCCAGAGACTGTTCTAGGTGCTGCGGATACAGCTGTGAACAAGACAAGGAAGGCCCTGCCCTCATGGAGTTTATATTTCATGAGAAAAAGGGGTAGCACCTCCAAAAAGAAGGAAGGGGAAGGAGGAAGGAGGGAAAGAGAAAAGGAAAGGGAAGGGAGGGAGAGGGGATAGAGAGGGAAGGGGATTGGGGAAAGGAGAAGGAAGGATGGAAGGAGGGCAGGAGGAAGGAACAGGAGGGAAGAAAAAGGAAAGGGGAGGAGAGGGAAGGGAAGGGAAGGGAAAAGGGAGGAAGGAGAGAGGGCAGGAGAGAGGCAGGGAAGGAAGGAAGGAGGGAGGGAGGGAAGGGAGGAGGGGAGGAGGCAGGGAGGGAGAAAGAGAGACTATTTTAGAATGTAATTAGTGCTAACAAGACAATAAAGAGGGATAATGGAATGGAGAAAGATGGTTGGGATGAGGTATTTCTTCAGTTCATTCATTCAAGAGTCTACTTTCTATTAAACAAACTTGAGGCAAATTGATGATTGGTTGGTAATTTGGACACGTAACTCCTTCCAGAAAACATTTTCCTTAAAATGGCTGCATCCAAAGTGTTAATTTCAGACATCATGAAGATCTAATGACTGAAGCCTGAGACCTTCTGCTTCTGTCCAAGCATAGGCAGGTCCCTACTCCATCTATGTGTAAACCAATTTTGCTTTTATATCTACCATCTAACTTTCAAATTTTCCTAGCATTCTAGCTTCAAATGGTTATTTACCTGACTGCTGTAGTTGCATATACTTGAGGAAAAAGATTGGGTTCTTTTTGTTTGTTTTTTTTAAGAGACAGTGTCTCGCTCTGTCACCCAGGCTGGAGTGCAGTGGTGCAATCATAGCTCACTGCAGCCTTGAATTCCTGAGCTCAAGGGATCCTCTAGCCTTGGCCTCTCAAATCCCTTGGCCAGGATTACAGGCACAAGTCACTGAAGTAGGCAATATTGGTTTCTTGACGTTTGTTCCACTCCTCTTGTATTAGAAAAAAATGATACTCCAATGGTAGCAACCTCACTGCTCACTAAGCAGTGATAAGCAGGATTAAGAAACCATGTTACTACGCAGAATGACAATAAGCATTTGTTACCTGTTTTTCCACCACAGACACATTCATGTGAGGGACTAGCCGGATGGAAAATTTTCCTATAACTTGGCCAGGTATGACTGTTTTAGCTCCAGGCTCATCAAACGCGCCCTCGATCCCATGAATAGAAAGAGACGGGTACCTCCAGAGGTGCATTAGAATCTCCTCCTATATTAAAATAAAATTACCCAAAGCATGCTTAATTAGACCCCAGTGGAGCTGGGTTGCTTGTGTTACCACTGTCTGTCTCTCTGAGACACCATTCAGGACACGTTAACTGTCACCTTACTCAGCTGTGTCTGACGCAAGGACTTTTCCCTCAGGACACAAACTCTGCTGTCTTCAGATGCCTTCACGTACCCAAGATGCTCCCCACTGATGAGTGCCCCTCTTTGCCCAAGATTTGCAGTTTTCAGTGAACAAATGGCAAAGGGGTCCTTTCAGACGAGATCGGGCACGTTCAGGATGGAATGGCCATAGACAAACGGGCCCCTTCAGAAATGTGGGCTCAATTATAAATTTCTAACCTCAGTCATTACAATAATAACTTATGTAATGAAAGCATTTTCTTATTCAGAAGACATCAAAGAACTCTCCACATGTTTGAGCCAGTTTTCTTTCTTCTTCTGGCCATCCTCGAGCTGGTCTGCAGGAAGACACCTGCTTCATAATAATTCACTCTACTGCTTCTTTTCAGCTTGCTTTTCCCTGTCGTGGCCCCTTCCCCAGGAACCGGCCCTGCTACCAAACACCTTGTCAGGCAAACATGCTGCCCAGAAAGAGGAGGAGGAGAAAAGCAAAACAATTCTAAATTTGCCAGTAAGGAATGTTTTTGGCTTTGTGTTTACTTAGTCCACTGAGGCAGTGATGTATTCACTTACAGATTAGACCCTAAGGCTCTTGGTTTTGTCTGGAAGAATGAACAGTTACAGGTCTTGGAGCTGGAATCATCTCAGACTTTTCTTGGTCTTTGAAAAGGTAAGAAGTCCAGCTCACCGGCTGAAGGCTGGCGTGGGATTTAGGTTAATAAACAGCTTTGGAAAACATGGCTGGGAAATGGGTAACTGCTTGTAGTTAAATGCCAGAAGCCAGTGCCCATTAGACACCAGTGAAAAAGGACTGGTTGATCCAGCCCACAGGGAAGTGGCTGTGGACATCAAAAATCTGCCTAGGAATTCACATCTGCTTTGGATTCTAAGATATGCAGATTAGCACCAGACAACGATTTAGACAGCGGGCAAATATGATCTACTAGCCTCATGCCTCTTCCAGCTTATCCATTAGTCTGTGGTCATACCTTAGTATCGAACAGAAATTTCTCAACCCGGCTGCTATTCCGGTATTCTTCCAGGTCTAGATGGATGGCTTTGTATGTATTTATTTCCTCTTCTGTAAGAGGAGCCACTTCATCATAGATTCCAGGGACCAGGATATGACCCGATGAGTCTACCAGGCTACCTACAAAACACACACAGCAAACAAAGCCAGGTAGAAAGGGGTGTGCCCATGCTGTGGTCCTGGAGCCACAGACTGTGGGAGGACTCTTCAGGGCTGCAGCAGGCCTCGTGACTCTCTGGGTCCCCATGGCCAAAGCCATTGGCAGCAACTCCATCCAAGAAGTGACTGTCAGAGAAAGGAGCTGGTCACCAGGTTCACGCAGCTGGAATCAGCCCTGCTTTAGTGTTCACCTTGTCAAAGGTGAGGCTGAAAACACCTGGGCCCACAACCAGTGAGTCTGGAGCGAGTTACCTCCATCACGTTCACGTTCTCAGCTATGCCTTTTATACATAAACAAGGTTTGTTTTTTAGTTTTACCTTATGCTGATTTAAAAAGTAATACGTGTTCACTATGAAACATTTAAAATACATGCTGGGTGCGGTGGCTCACATCTGTACTCCCACCACTTTGGAAGGTCAAAGCAAGTGGATTGCTTGAGCCTAGGAGTTCCCAACCAGCCTGGGCAACATGGCGAGACCCCGTCTCTACAAAAAATACAAAAACTAGTGGGGCATGGTGGCACATGCCTGTGGTCCCAGCTACTTGGGAAGCTAAGGTGGGAGGATCACTTGAGCCCAGGAAGTTGAGGGTGCAGTGAGTAATGATCACATCACTGCACTCCAGCCTGGGAGATAAAGTCAGACCCTATCTCAAAAAAGAAATAATATGGCTGGGAGCGGTGGCTCACACCTGTAATCCCAGCACTTTGGGAGCCCGAGGCGGGCAGATCACAAGGTCAGGAGATCAAAACCATTCTGGCTAACATGGTGAAACCCTGTTTCTACTAAAAATACAGAAAATTAGCAGGGCATTGTGGCACGCACCTGTAGTTCCAGCTACTGGGGAGGCTAAGGCAGGAGAATCACTTGAACCCAGGAGGCGGAGGTTGCAGTAAGCCCAGATCACACCACTGCACTCCCGCCTGGGTGACAGAGTGAGACGCCATCTCAAAACACACACACACACACACACACATACATGTATACACACCTACGTACATACATACCTGACAAACCAAAAATTGTTGTCATTTCTTCTCAACTTCTCTTCCCCTACACGCATGCACACACACACACACACACACACACACAATATAATAAACACTCATTTTTAATTAAAAGCTTTATACCCTTCAGGTCTACTCTATGAGATACCATCATGACCACAAAATCCTCTATATACACTAGTATGCTCTTCATGAAACAGTTTAGGGATCAATACAAGTGGAAAAAACCATCACTAAATACCCAGAAGAGCAGCAGATGTTGAAGTTCAGTAAATGCTGCCCACTCTCTGGAGAAAGTGCTTATCAAAGGCAAAATGCAGCCAGGAAGTAGACCGATATACATGACACAAAAATGTCTCCAGGGCAGCTCAGTGAGTCCCCACTGATAATGCAATCATGAGATCTTCCCTTGAGGGTATGTCCCTAAACTTCTGCTGACAGTCTTCCGTGTAAGGACAGAGTTGCAGAGTCGTGCTTTCTAAGCACGCCTGTACCTCACTAGTAAAACAATCCAAGCCTCTGTTCTTGGCATCATTTTAAATTACAACTTTATTCTCTTAGCATACAAGTAGCCTTCCCTACTGCTGGACTGGGAGAAGGAAGAGTAAGAGGATTTCCTTATTTACTTTTTCTTTCCTTCCTTCCTTCCTTCCTTCTCTTTCTCTTTCTTTCTTTCTTCCTTCCTTCCTTGTGTAAACACAAGCATCCCCTTAGCAGTTCCTTCCTTCTTCCTTTCTCTTTTTTTTTCTTTCTTTCTTTCTTTCTTTCTTTCTTTCTTTCTTTCTTTCTTTTCTTCTTCCTTCCTTCCTTCTTCTTTCCTTTCCTTTCATTTTCCTTCCTTCCTTCTTTCCTTCCTTTCCTTTTCCTTCCTTCCTTCTTTCCTTTCTTTGTTCTTTCCCTCCCTCCCTCCCTCCCTCCCTTTCCTTCCCTTCTTTTCCTTCTTTTCTTCCTTTTCTTTCTCTCTTTCTTTCTTTCCTTTTTTTGAGACAGAGCTTGCTCTGCCACCCAGGCTGGAGTGCAGTGGCATGATCATGGCCACCGTACCTGGCCTTCCTTTCCCTTTTAATTTGCTTGCAGAGAATTCTGATTAGAGAGCTGTGGATGGCCGGGCGTGGTGGCTCAAGCCTGTAATCCTAGCACTTTGGGAGGCCGAGACGGGCGGATCACGAGGTCAGGAGATCGAGACCATCCTGGCTAAAACGGTGAAACCCCGTCTCTACTAAAAAATACATAAAACTAGCCGGGTGAGGCAGCGGGCGCCTGTAGTCCCAGCTACTCGGGAGGCTGAGGCAGGAGAATGGCCTGAACCCGGGAGGTGGAGCTTGCAGTGAGCTGAGATCCGGCCACTGCGCTCCAGCCTGGGGGACAGAGCAAGACTCCGTCTCAAAAAAAAAAAAAAAAAGAGAGCTGTGGAGTGCGGCTCAGTCACTTTGGCCCTGCCTGAAACACCATCACAGGGAAAGGGGAGCCATTGATATCTGTGCTACTCAGAAATAATGCTGCTTCACAGATCCCATTTTCCATATTTCTTTGCCCTAGTTCTTTAATATTGAAAGCATTTGAATGAAAATATTATGCTTAAGAGCGTGTTCCCTCCCATCCTGTTCATTTTCCTCTTGCAATCATGACGTGATGTCATTTCTGCAGTTACCACAGCCGTCTTGGCAAGTGCAGGGAAGGCAGAAAGTGCCTTTGAAAACTGCCCACAGGAAACAGAATCCTGCATGCCCACCCAGCAGCCATCTTGGATTTGAACATTTTAAATAACATCATTTGGTGCTTATAAAAATGCCTTTGGTGCAGTGGCCTTTTCTGTTTTATGGCTTTTAGGGAAATGCAAAGAGTAGGAAAGTGTCTGCAAAGGGAAACCACAGAAGGTTAGAGTTCCATTTGTAAACACAAGTATCCTCTTAGCAGCTTCTGCGTCCCCTGAACACTAAGCCCCTTTTCAGACAGGGAACTAACTTGGTTTTGCTTTGTACCCTAGTGGAGGTTGTCACACACTAGTGTTTATTGTCTGTTCATGATCACAGCACAGACAGAGAGGTTAGGAGGCTTGCATGAGGCAAGGGCTGCCCATGGATTCCCACATCCTGACTAGTGTGTATGGCTGATTGTCAGCCTGCAGGAGTGGACAGAGCAGAGCCGACTCTCACTTGACATCAGGGGGCCCTGGGAGTCCGGGCATCTCCACTACAGCCCAGCCTGTCAGCAAGCAAAATTCCTGCTTGTCATCTGATAAACACTAAAGCTCAACACTATGTCCTTATGTTTTTGTGCAAAACATATGAAAACCACATAGAGGACACAATCCAGAAATTACTGTGCTGTGGATTGATTATTTGATTTGTATCAAAAACTAAAGAAAGGCAAATCACGTTTTAAATTTCATTCATGACCCTGAGCCAACTCCTCCTTAGCAGAGCAATGTGCATTTGTGGGGCTGAATGGAATCCTATGCCTGGCTGAAGCCACACAGCCTGGAGACGCCATGCAGCAGTCATGCTTGTGGGAAAAGCAAAATGTGCTGCTAAAGATTTCAGATGCAGTTCCTAGGGAGAAAACATTCATTCTGGTAAAACAGAAATTAACCTCCACTCCCCAAAATCGTGAGTTGCGTACTATCTGATTCTTCTGGAAACCATTTAAACTCTTTAAAGGAAAATGGCTGGGTGTATTCTGTCTGAATTGTCAAGCATGGGAAATATCATCCAAGAGCTATATTTCAGGAAAACTAGAAGGCCATAGAAGAATAGATAGATAGATAGATAGATAGATAGATAGATAGATAGATAGATGGATGGATGAATGAATGGATGGATGGATAGATGATAGATAATGGATGAATGGATAGATGGATGGATGGATAGATAGATAATAGATGGATGGATGGATAGATGGATGGATGGATAGAAAGATGATAGATGGGCCGGGTGCGCTGGCTCAAGCCTGTAATCCCAGCACTTTGGGAGGCCGAGACGGGCGGATCACGAGGTCAGGAGATCGAGACCATCCTGGCTAACACGGTGAAACCCCGTCTCTGCTAAAAAATACAAAAAACTAGCCAGGTGCGGTGGCGGGCGCCTGTAGTCCCAACTACTCGGGAGGCTGAGGCAGGAGAATGGTGTGAACCCGGGAGGCGGAGCTTGCAGTGAGCTGAGATCCGGCCACTGCACTCCAGCCTGGGCGGCAGAGCCAGACTCTGTCTCAAAAAAAAAAAAAAAAAAAGAAAGATGATAGATGGATAAATGGATGAATGGATGGATGGATGGATGGATAGAAAAATGATAGATGGATAGATAATAAATGGATGGATGAATAGATAGATAGTTGGGTAGATGGACAGATAGATGATAGGTAGATGGATAGATAATGGATGGACAGATGGATAGAAAGATGATAGATGGATAGATAATGGATGGATGGATGGATGGATGGATAGTTGGATGGATGGATAGAAAGATGATAGATTGATAGATAATAGACGGATGGATGGATAGCTAGATAGATGGTAGAAATATAGGTAAATTTCATTATTCACTTTGGGAGAATGAAAGAGAAAGCTGTGCAACTAAAAATGATGCTGAAGACCTTAAGAAGATTCTCCCAACACCTGGGCCATCTGGGCTGATTGTACCATGGCCTGGACTACTGAGGCCAAGGGAGTAAATGCTTTCTGGCAATTTGTCTGCTCAAAAGGGGCACATTATTAAACTTTTTTTTTTTTTTTGCTTTTTCTATTTCTTTCTTTTTTTGATAAAGGGTCTTGTTCTGTCACCCAGGCTGCAGTACAGTGGCATGATTATCTCAGCTCACTGCAGCCTCCACCTCCTGGGCTCAAGCAATCTTCCTGCCTCAGTCCCTTAAGTAGCTGGGACTACAGGCCTACACCATCATGCCTGGCTAATTTTTGTATTTTTTGTACAGACAGGGTTTCACCATGTTGCCCAGGCTGGTCTTGAAGTCCTGAGTTCAAGCAATCCACCCACCTTGGCCTCCCAAAGTGCTGGGATTGCAGGCATGAGCCACCATGCCTGGCCATGTTATGAAATTTGCATAAAGGAGCTATACCTGTCAAGTGGAGCACAGCGAGGTTTTGCAGAGTCTAAAGCATAGGTAATGTGTGAACCTCTTTTTTAAAAGGACACCGAATTATGAATATAAAATGATGAGTGTCCCTGCCAGGACTGTGGAAGGAGCTCCGTAAGTGAGGCCCCTGGAGTTTAAACTTCCTTAGCTTCCCTGGGAACCCACCATGGGCAGCCCTGATGCCTAGAAGAGCTGTAGGTGAATTGAGCCTGGGCAAACAGGCTCCCCGAGAAAAACACACAACTCCCTACTGCACACACCAGCAATCCATGGGAAATCAAGGACAGCACCAGGACAATCGGGGAACTCGTCAGTGTTGCTGTGCCACTCAGGGCCACAGCAACCTTGGAAAATGAAGCCAAGTGGTGCTGACGTATTTGACACCATTTCTGGAGTCAGGCCAGGGCAGGCCATTACTCACTGAAGGACATGCTGCATTCCAGCCACCATGACAAGTGCTCTGCACACATCACCTTTTTGCATCCTAAAAGCAATACTAGGTAAATAGAAGATTGTGCCCCTTTACAAATGAGAAACCGAAGACTAGAGAACTCAAGTAACTCGCCAAGGTCACGCAGGTGGTCTGTGGCAGAGCGAGGACACAACTAGTCATCCACACGCAGAACCCACATGCTACAAGGTGTGGGCTGGTCTGCGGAAGGGCCAGTCTGTTGTGAAAAATGAGATGCTCTTGAGAAAGTGGGGGAAGGGCCTCATCTGGTGTGTCGCTTAGTTCCTTTTCCTTTTGATCATCCCTTTGTTGATTTATCTTCAGTCAAAAAGTCATGCCAGGTCTACCGAAGTTGAACTTGTGGTTCAACTGACTTGGGAATACCACACCCAACCCGGCCCAGCATTCTAGGAGCAGCAGTAAGGGAGTCAGGGTGGCCTCTTAGTCTTTTGTATCCTTTGAGTCTCTGCCCTCTTGTCCTTGAGTATGGCTGGATGTGTCACAATGTCCAATAAAAGAAAACGGAGGAACTGAAGAAGAGTTTTGCAGACTTACTTAAAAGAGGAGGGAACAGTTAGCCAAGGGGAGGAAAATCTAAGCATCTACACGCTTGTTCAGAGCTGGTTCAGAAAGCAAGGAGAGGCACATAGAATCAAGTAGAACTGTCTTTTAGTTGATCCCTGATGCTTAAAAAGTGAAACAAAACAAGGCATTACCGAGAAGAGCAACCAGATCAGCCATTGGTTCATGAAGGATGCCACCAAAGGTTCCCGAGTGAAAATCCTGGTCTCTGCATTTCACCTGTAGAGTAGATAAAAGGCAAGAGATATACTTCCTGCCTTGGTTGCTTTAGTGGAAGCATTTCACGTGGTGAAATACATATCTGCATGTGTCCCTCAGAACTCAGGTAGGTGACCTCCAGACCTGACTTCACTTTCCGTGTTTCTCAGTCATGGGGACTGGAGTTCCTACCCGCTGTCCATTGCTTCATTCCCACCATCTCCTGAATACCCTGAAGCTGACTCATTCCCCAGCTTTTCCACCAACTTTATTCTAGCCAAGATCACGAGGCTCTCCTTGGCCAAATGATTGACGTTTACACAGCTGTCTTCCTTTTGGTTTCATCCAATATTGTTGATCACTCCTTTTTCTGGAAAAATTCTCTTGCCTTGGTTTCTGAGAAGCTTTCTTCTCTTTCTTCTTTTCTTGCCTGCAGGACAATTCTATTGATATCTCCTGTAATAACATCTTTTCTTCCTCCCACCTCTAAAGCTTAATACTTGGCTCATCCTTCCTCTACATGAGCTTCAAGAGCTCACAGGATAGCATTTATGTATACAGCACCCTTGACATAAGAGTGACTCCACCTTAGAAAAAGACTCCATCTTACATTTCCTAAGGCACTTTGCCAACAGGGACTAGGTGTTCTGCCTGATCAATAAAGACTGCATCCAGCTGGATAAGGATATAACCAAACACGTTCTTCCACTATTGGTTCTCATCAGAGGACTTGGCAGTCATAAAACAACCAGGACGTCAGCAGTTCAAAACTTAACAGACACGGTCCTGCTGTCACTTGTGCTAAGAACCCAGCATCTGCCACCAAAGGTTCTGCCCAAATCAAAGGCTCTTCCTTACAAGACCACTGGACCACCCGAGCCAGGCCAGGATTTCTTTTTGTCTATGTCACACTCCCTGGACTGGTTCATTAACCTGTTTTCCTATCCCTTTTCTTTTCTTTTATTAAATTATTTATTATTTATTTATTTATTTATTTTTGAGACAGAGTCTTGTTCTGTGACCCAGGCAGGAGTGCAGTGACACAATCTCAGCTCACTGCAACCTCCGCCTCCCAGCTTCAAGTGATTCTTCTGCCTCAGCCTCCCGAGTAGGTGGGACTACAGGTGCACGCCACCATGCCCAGTTAATTTTTTTGTAATTTTTTAGTAGAGACAGGGTTTCACCATGTTGGGCAGGCTGGTCTTGAACTGCTGACCTCAGATGATCCACCTTCCTCAGCCTCGCAAAGTGCTAGGATTACAGGCGTGAGCCACTGTGCCCAGCTCCTTCTCTCTTGATGGTAAATGTTACTTTGTTTGTTATGGAATATTCAGTCTATAACATTCACATATTGGCTAGGTATATAACGATGTATGCTTTACAATATCGACTGCCTTGTGGAGTAGCTTGGGCCTGTGTGCCTGCAGCTCTGACTCCTGAGTGAATGGGAGGCACTAAGGAGAATTGCCTCCTTGGAAACTGCATGGAGCCTGTGGCTTTCATTATTGAGATAGCATCAGTAAAAGCCTGACATTGTGGAAAGACACAAACATGTGTGGAACTGGTTATCTCTGACCATGCGGTGCTCACGATAATTTAAGGGCAGGGATACTATTAACACCTCCATGCCCTTAAATGTTCATCCCTGGAGGTCTGACCTACTACATAAACACCAGACCTAAAACTCTGGGGTGCTTACAGTGCATTCCACTCGAGCATGCTTCCAGTTTCTGAAACTCAGGAGATCTAGACCCGAACTCAACCACTTCTGCTATTACTTCCTACCAGCATGATTTCTCCTATGTACGCCATATCCAATCAATTACCAATTTCTACAGGTTGGGCTTTTTTGAAGTTGATTCTTCAGTTCATTCCCTCCCATCCTTCCAGCCCAGCTGGTCTTTATGGTGTTCCACTCCATCTTCAATGTAGTAACAGAGCAATCTTTGGTTTATTCACTTTAGCATTAAGACTTTCAGTTCACTAGGCAATAATGCTAGCTAAATTACCCTGGAGTATGAACGGTCTTACTTCGAAACCTTGAGCTGGCTGTCTCACATCCTGATGACAGCTCTCCTCCTCCTCTCTTGTAACTTTGCTGTACCACCTGTTCTCGGTCTTCATCAAGACGTCAGTCCCTTGACCCTTCCAAGATGTTCCACGTTGCCCTCCTGCATTTGTTTTTTCTCCTGTTCAACCTGAATACCACCATTGATCACCTCAGCCCTTCTGCTCAACACCTTGACGAGCTCTTCCTTACTTTCTCCACCACAACCCTCTGGAGTAACCTCAACCCCAGGGCCAGTCTGCCCCTGCGAGGCCTTCTCTGTCCCTGGCCACTGAGCATGCTGCAGAAGCCATCAATTTGCATGGATAGATGACTCCAGACCTTAACATTGCCTGGCCCTTCTTCATCCTCCCATCCCTTCTCTTCCCCCTGTCCCAAAGTGACCACTTCAAGCCATCACTTCACTGCAGATACACTCACTTCCTGCTAAACAGAAAAAAATTGAGGCTAAGAGGGAAGAAACGCTAGGACTTGGAGCTCTCTACCTACTCAAGGCCCTCACAAAAGAGGTTACTTCCCTCCCATGGGTCTGGAGCTCGCCCCCTCCCACCTCCTCAGAGCCTTTGTTCTCAAAAATCCTCCCCCTCCCTCCCAGGTCTCCAACTGCTGTCTCTGTCGATTGCCTCCCAAGGATTTCCTCCAGCCATCATCCCAGCTCTGTCCCACTTTTCACAGCCATGTTTCCTGAAAGCGGGTTCTAGAGAACAGTCCCTGCTTCCTGTTTTCTCTGTCACTCCCACATCTCTTTAGTATCTGTATCTCACTAGGAGTAAACTTCCTGAGGGCAGAGACTATTTTATTCAGTTCTGTACCCCTGGGACTTAGCATCCTCCTATCTGACAAATAGAAGGCACTCACTGTTTTTCAAATGCATAGCCATGTGTTTCCGTGTATGTGCTCACATCTGAATCTCAAAACTGCCTAGGGATTGGATAGAGCATGGATTATCAGCCTACACATTGCTATATGAGAAAACAGACTGAAATGATGAAATAATTAGCTATTTACCCGGGAGGGACTTTCTAAGTCTTACGCATTATCACAGGTTGCCTGTATTACTAGAAAAAGAGAAAAGGGGAAGGAAACTGACTATGCATCAAACCTGAACTAAAGGCTGCATGTAATGACACAGCCATCCTGGGAGGGGGCGTTATTGTGCCATCTTTCAAGGTGGGAAACCAAGGCTCAAGGTGAAGCCACCTGCACAAGGCTGGGCACGGTAGAAGCTAGGATTCAGATACTGGCCTCGGGCGACACCAATGCTCCTTCTCCTTCCCTGTAACCACAGCACTTAGATTTCCTGCCACTGCGGCCAGCAGGCCCACGCCGGGAGCAGGACACAGCAGTTGCCGCCTGCATTTGATCAGGCAGTCTGCTTACCTCCCTGTGGCTGCCATACCTGCCTGCAAATCCCATGGCCAGAGTTTCCAAGCTTTGCTTTGTGAGTCACAAACCCCTGTGAATCCCCTCTCCAGAACAAGGTACATAGCCACATCCACTCCAAGTGTCAGGGGGTTCATGACCTCCCCAAACCCCAAGACCTCTGCACCCACCCCACCTCCCCTAAGGCTGTGTGTCCCAAGTAAGGCCTCTGCCCTCAGGAAAGCTTTCTTTCTTCCTCTCCAAGATCCCAGAATGGACTGGCGCTCCCATTCACAACCCCCACAGGCCTCCATCCACGCACTGCTCTCTGTGGATACCTCCACCGTGAAGTAGCTGTTCCCCCGGGTTCCGTAAGTGATTGCTGGCTTCCTTTGGCTGATCCACAGGTTATCTGAAATTACGATGTAGTCCACACCAGAGAAGAATCGGTTCTTTTCTTTTTCCACAAGTTCCTCCAGGGCAACAGAGCCAGCCTCTTCCATCCCCTCAATGATGAATTTGATATTCACAGGAAGATCCTAAGTAACAACAGAAGAAAAAAGTCGCACAAGTTGCCTGCTGTGGTTTGGCTGTGTCTCCACCAAGTCTCAACTTGAATTGTATCTCCCAGAATTCCCACATGTTGTGGAGGGACTCAGGGGGACGTAATTGAATCATGGGGGCCAGTCTTTCCTGTGCTATTCTCGTGATAGTAAGTCTCACGAGATCTGATGGGTTTATCAGGCATTTCAGCTTTTGCTTCTTCCTCATTTTCTCTTGCTGCCGCCATGTAAGAAATGACCTTCACCTCCCGCCATGATTCTGAGGCGTCCCCAGCCATGTGGAACTGTAAGTCCAATTAAACCTTCCCACTCTCAGGTATGTCTTTATCAGCAGCGTGAAAACAGACTACTACATTGCCCATTCACCTTTGAAGATCCACTATTTGTTTGCATATAACATAAACACATGAAATTATTATTTACATTCAATGTATGAATGTGCATTCCCCACAGTTGTGTTACAGCAATGGAGTCGTAATTATGGTTGTGAAGGAGAATTCAAGGTAACGCCTGGTGCGTGCCCTCCAACATGTCCTGCCAATTTAATGCTATGATCAAGAATTGGGGAAAGGGGCATCTACAGGAAAGCACATTCTATACTACAGAGCTTTCCCGTGTGGCCGCAGAGGGAGGCATTTTTCTCCTTCTCCCCAAAAGGAATTTTTCAAGAAAGGTTAGGCAATTACAAATGGCTTTTCTGTCCTCATAATTCTGAACATGAAAAAGGAGAAATTTCTCCTTTGAAAGATTGTTAAGCCTCAGGTTAATTTTTACTTCCAGTATCTGTTATTTTTCAGCTGTGACTTCAATCTGCCTTTTAACTTATTCGAAGGCTTTGATCTCACAGCAAAATGGAACTTGAGGTTTTTTTTTTAGTTAATATTAGGGCAAGGAATAGCTCCTTTAAAATTTTTACAACATGCTTCTTCCCCCATTTGCTTTTGATCTTTTTGTATCTTTATAATTTATAACTTCATATCTTTGAGAACCACATTAAGAGGAGAGGTCAAAGTATTTTCCTAGAGCACAGGATGCGTGCAGAACTCTAAAAGTGATTACAGGCAGATAAACAGCATGCACACACTATAATCAGTTCTAATAAGCGGGCTTGACTCACCACAGATTAACAAATGCAACATGAGCACAGGATTATGGATGAGAAAATAATAAGTTACGTAGTAATTAAAATGAGAAAATTAGAAAATCAGTCATTCAGTTGGAGAAGAGCTTTTGGGGGACAGTGATTTGTTCATATGTACCCCTTGTGTTTCTGTGTGTCTTAGGAAGTCCATCTGAAGTTCTGAAATCTTAATATCTGAAGGTTCTGTGTGAACACTGAACTAGCAAACAATTGCTGAAGAGTAGTTGGAAATCCTAAGAATTTTCTGGCAAGTCACTTTTAATAAAATACAAACCCATAGCACTCAGCATGCAGGCCGCATACATTAGCAGCTGGGTTTGCCAAGCCTCCCCTTGGCAGCTCACTGCTCTACCTGTGAAATATGGATATTAGTACTCACTCTGCCTCCTAGAAAATAACCCAGGGAGGGAATGTGTCCTAAGAGCTCTGTAGGCAAGGCGGGCAGAGGAGAAGAAGGGAGGGAGGGAGGAAGAAGGGGACACTCTCGAAGGACCTCACACACCACCCCCAGTGCAGATATTTCTTCACTGAATCCCTGTAAGCCTGTGAGGTAGAAACTGCCATTCCCACTTTGATCACAGACGAGGAAAGTGAGGCTCAGAGATGAACTGACGTGTCCAGGGCAGTGAATATTTCTTCTGTTTTCTTTGTGATTGTGTAATTTTCAGAGTTGAAATTTATAAAGGAAAACAGATTTTGGCCTTTTTATTGGAACAATCTTATAAATATTGCTATCCCTTAGAAGGAGAGAGAGAGAGGAAGAAAGAGAAAGAAAGGAGAGAAGGAAAAACAGGGAGGGAGACAGAGAAAGAAACCAAAGCCACACGGAATGCTCAGGGCATGGGTGGTGTGAGCTTCATGGATAAGAAGACACCTTTGCAGTGGTCTGCAGGACACCACCGAGACCTGTGCTGATTTCCTGAGCGTGTCTTCTGTGAGATTCAGGAGTGGAGTCAGAGTACTTAAGTCCCCTCCATCTGCTTATGTCTCAGGAGAAAATAAACTTCTGAGGGAAGCCCCCGGCACCTAATGAAATAATCTTCAGGAAAAGACACCTCAGAAGCCCGGGTCTTCTCTGCAGGACAGGGTGCCAGGGAGGCCCCTCAGCCCTCAGGGCCTTGCAGCCTTGGACAGGGCTGAGGCGGTGCCCAGGACAGGGCAGATGGAACCATACCCCAAGGTTGACCTGATTCTGTTCCACAGAACAGAATCCGAGGCCCAGAGAGGTCAAGTCACTTGCCCAAGTTCACAGAGCTAGATCCAGTCCTCTGCTGGTGTCTAAGTACATTCGCCAGGAGCAGGAGAAGAGTGCCTTGAGATAAGACCATCCTTGTGTTGAAACATGAGATAGTTAAAGGTACAAACCTGGGTCCACCAACAATGTCCTCTGGAGGCCGGAAAGAGGGGACCCACCTCCTCAAATCTGTACCCCTGCCTCTGCTCCAGAGCCCTTATTTGGACATCTAAAGAGAACCACTGTGCTCTCAGGGAAGAGATCCAAGGATTCCTGCGGAATGTCATGGAGATTCCTATCTTGATCATTTGCAAAGCAGCCGATACATTTAAAAAATGTGTGTTTGTCTCTGCTAACAAATCATACTTTGTGATAAGAAGAAAAAGAAGATTAAAAAAGACAAGATAAGATAAAATAAGGATTAAACAAAAAAAGACAAGTCCCATCAGATAGCAGCTTGGCCACAGGCTTGTTGTGTCTTTGGCTGTGTCTTGTTTTTTAACGTGGTTAAAAGTGCAGGCTGGAATCCATCCTCAAAGTATCAGCCTTGCCACCAGCTGCACTGCTCTGGGTAAGTTCTCTGACCTTCCCGAGCCTTTCTGTCCTTATCTGTGAAATGGATACAATTGTCCACACACCTCCAAAGACTGTTGGAGTGAATAAGTGACCTAAGGCAGTTTGCTCAGAACACAGCAAACAACTCAAAGTAAGTTGTAGTTACCATCCTCCTCCTCCTCCCTCCCGAACACAGCTGTCACCTACTTGTTCCAGGGCTCTGAAGGCGCTCACAGCATTGATCCAAGCCAAGACAGGACCTTTGTTGTCGGTTGCGCCTCGTCCATAAAGTTTCCCTTTACAAAGGGAAGAAGAATGTTCAGAGAAGTGTGGACACCTCTGCCACGTGAGTTAAAAACCAATGTTGTTTCATGGGTACTAATGTTAACAGTGCTTTCTATAATAATATTCCAGGCACAAATCTTGCTATGAAATTGCAAAGTATGATTTCTTATGTACAAATAAGACCATACACAAGAGATCCTGGATCTCTTCCCTGACAAATAGTACAGTCGTCAGCTAGTCAGATAAGACAAGTAAATTTGCAATAGACAGATCCCACTGTCCTTAACAATAATTAGCTATTTTGTCCAAGTTCACTGAAGAGACCCACTGGGGATTTGTTGCGGAGTGCCATGTGGCATAGCTTCTCATTTTGGGATTTTACAATTAGTAGAAGAATGAAAAAAATATGTGTGTATATCTCTATTAACCTTTCTTCTTTTTCTTTATAAAATGCGAATTACATTTGATACTGTTCAAAAGGAAAGTGTGTGGCCTCGACAACTGTTTTCCTCACAACTCAAGAACCTCCGTCCAGGGGCACAAAAGTGTGTTGTTTTTTTCACAAATGAAAGAAAACCAGCCTCAGTGAACCAATCAGTAGGCTATGAGAGCCGCCTCTCTATGCATTCTTCTTTTTTTTTTTTTTTAGATGGAGTCTCACTCTGTCATCCAGGCAGAATGGAGTGCAATGGCGCCATCTCAGCTCACTGCAACCTCTGCCTCCCAGGTTCAAGTGATTCTCCTGCCTCAGCCTCCTAAGTAACTGGGATTACAAGCATGTGCCAGCATGCCAGGCTTTTTTTTTTTTTTTTTTTCCCAGACAGAGTCTCGCTCTGTCACCCAGGCTAGAGTGCAATGGCGTGATCTCAACCTCCACCTCCCAGGTTCAAGCAATTCTGCCTTGGTCTCCCAAGTAGCTGTGATTACAGGTGCCCACCACCATGCCCAGCTATTTTTTCGTATTTTTAGTAGAAACGGGGTTTTGCATGTTGGCCAGGCTGGTCTTGAACTCTTGACCTTAAGTGATCCAACCACCTTGGCTTCCCAAAGTGCTGGGATTACAGGCATGAGCCACCGCACCGGGCCTGTGCATTCTTAATGACAGGGAGAGACCCGAAATCCAGGGACAGAGCCACATCTTCACCCCTTCAATCTTGCAAGCACAGCAGCTCCGCACTGTAGCCCGGGTACCTCACTGACCGTCCACCTCCGTCAGCACGTAAGGGTCCGTGAGCCACCCATCGCCCTGGTCAGCAGGCTGCACGTCCAAGTGGCCGTAGAAGCACACGGTGCCTTTCGTGGGATCGTTCCCCAGTTCGGCCAGGATGACGGGAGGTATTGGAAGACTCTGACCATCGGGCAGCTGCAAAATGATCAGGAATCACATTTTTAAAAACGCTGTTCTTCCAGAACGTTGTTCTTCCAGAAAATTCAAAGACATGATATTGGGAGTCCTGGCCAGGCTATCCCTGGGTCCTTGGAGAGCCCATGTCATTTTTCTGAGCATCAGTTTCTCCATCTCTAAAATGAGTCCCATGAAACACTTTTTTTTCTTTTGGAGACAGGTCTCAGTCCTGGCGCCCAGGCTGGAGTGCAGTGGCGCACTCGCAGGCTTATGTGATTCTCCTACCTCGGCCTCCTCACAGTAGCTGAGACTCCAGACGTGCGCCACCACGTCTGGCTACCTTTTTGTATTTTTGGTAGAGACAGGTTTTGCCATGTTGCCCAGGCTGGTCTCAAACCCTCAGGCTCAAGTAATCCGCCCGCCGTAGCCTCCCAAAGTGCTAGGATTTCAAGTGTGAGACACTGCACCCAGCCAAGATGCTTTTAATTAAGATATAAAACCTAATTAAAAGTAAAGCACTTCTTTAGATCCACATTGACAATTAGCAGCATTAGCTGAATGTGCTCTTGAGTAAGAATGCAGATGGGCCGGGAACGGTGGCTCATGCCTGTAATCCCAGCACTTTGGGAGGCCAAGGCGGGCAAATCACGAGGTCAGGAGTTGAAGACCAGCCTGGCCAACATGGTGAAACCCTGTCTCTAATAAAAATACAAAAATTAGCTGGGCGTAGTGGTGCACGCCTGAAATCCCAGCTACTTAGGAGGCTGAGGCAAGAGAATTGCTTGAACCGGGACTTTGGAGGTGGAACTTGCGGTGAGCTGAGATCGCACCACTGCACTCCAGCCTGGGCTACAGAGCGAGACTCTGTCTCAAAACAAACGAACAGAAAAAGAATGCAGATGACAACTGGCTTAAATTAGGTGGACAAATCCTAGAAAATGTGGATGATCCCAAGGTTCCTCAGTGCTAAAATAAGCACAGCAGGTGCTTAGATTTAAGACATTCATGATGGAGTAGAGTTCTAAGAGACGGTTCTGATGAAAAAAAAACAGCTCCAGATACAATGCCTTTGAGAAAGATGCATACGAATTTAAAGAAAAGGACAATTTCCTTTTCCGTAAAGAAGAAATTGGAACCTGTGTCCAGGAAGTGAAGAGTACAAGGGGGTCCTTTCCATAATAAAGGGACTTTCACTTGTCATCTGCACTGGCTTCTAAGAGCCCGTCCCAGCCCTGGAGTCCTGATAGGACTGGAAAGCAGTAACACGGCTTCGTTCGAGACCAAGGGAATACTTCATCTTCATTAGGAATTGGGGGGTTTTGGTTGAGGATCAGGGTGAGCCTCTCCCTTGCCACCCCCGGGAAGGCACAATTGACATCTAGAAGTAGCTGCTCCCTTGGTGGGCGGGAACACCACAGCACCTGCTGAGAACCCATGTCCACCGAGGTCACACGGGCCCCCAGGCGCTGCAGTGTGTCCGCGGCCACAGCCATCATTCTGAAGAGCTCTTGTCTGAAGCGAGGCACGGGCTGGACAGAGTCGCTCTCGATGGCCACCCACTCCTTCAGCGTCTAGGAGGAAGAGTAAGCAGGCCATTAGCATGGGGGTCCCACATCTGCTCTGGGGGCAGCGAGGGGAGGACAGGAGATGGCGAGTCCCCAGGTGCTATTCTGTTGATTGAGGACCTGAGGACCTATGACAGTGCCAGTGAACACTGTGACATTCAAGAGTAACAGACAGAATAGCTGGGGTTTTAATCAGGAACCCGGAGGCCAGAGATGCCTGGTTAGTACAGAAGGTCAGGCAGGGTGGGCTGGGAGAAAGATAATGGTCTGGGTCCTCGCTGGGTTCCCCAGGGCTGTCAAGAAGGGCAAGTCCCCACCCACTGTTTCTAATTATTAAGAACTGAAGAGCTGGTGGGCTCTCAGCTTTCTCCAGGACTCCTTGCTTCCCACACCTGGCCCTGGAAGCCTCCGGGCCATGACTGAACCCCACAGTGACCTCCGCGGGGCTGCAGGTCCCTTCTGACATGCTCTGCACTTAGATTCCCCGGCCCGCCCCTCCCTGCGCTCCTAGGATCCCACAGGCACTGTGACGTCGGGCTTAAACTCAGCCTGTCATAGCTGTGTGACTTTGGGTGTATTCCTTAACCTCCCTTAGCCTGAGTGTTCTCATCTGCACAAGAAAGTAACGCTCCCTAACGATAGGGTGATGGTGAGGACCACTGAGGTAACGTGTGCACAAGCCTCAGCCTGGTGCCGGGCACCTGGCGGCCACTCCAGCAGTGCTGGCTGATATGAATGACTGATAAGAACCATTCACACACCGGTGTTGGAACCTGAGTGGCTCATACTGAGACAGTCAGCATTTTTATGAAAAACTACACAGATTTACTGATCTTGGACTTCTCTTCCTGACTCATTTGAGTTTGATCTCTCTATCCTGGTTGTAGAGCTTTCATTTTTATTACGAAGGCATTTATCTAATCCTAATGAATATTATGTTTTACATTTTTAAACTGGAATTTACGGAACAGAGACTGCTGGCTTCTCCCTAAGTTCAGTAGATTTGGGTATGTTTGAGGGACTTAGGGGGCTTGGGGTACAAAGTTCAGGGAGACCTCAAGGAGCTCCCAGTCTGGTGAGCACAGACAACACACATCAGTGTGCACATGTGTGGGGGTGTGTGGGGATGGAACCAGTCGGCCACAGAGGGGACAAGAGAGCTTAGGAGAGCGGGGCTGGGGAGGAGCTGGTGAATCTGTGGGCTCCAGCAAGCTCCTGCCTTCCCACTCCTCGTCCTGTCTCCTCCTGCTCCCCAGGCCTCCCTCTTTTTGCCGTTCCACCTCACCCTCCCTCTACTTTACCCCACTCCCACCCCGTACATGTACAGACCCTGTATGGTGAATTAGGGGTGAAGCAGAGGATTATAAACTTGGGAGGCTGAGGCAGAAGGATCACTTGAACCCAGGAGGTCGAGGCTGCAGTGAGCTGTGTTTGTGCCACTGCACTCCAGCCTGGGCGACAGAGCAAGACCCTGTCTCAAAAAATAACAACAACAACAACAAAAAAGGGTCAGGCGTGGTGGCTCATGCCTGCAATCCCAGCACTTTGGGAGGCCGAGGAGGGCAGATCACTTGAGGTCAGGAGTTCAAAATCAGCCTGCCCAACATGGGGAAATCCTATCTCTACTGAAAAAACACAAAAATTAGCTGGGCATGTTGGCAGGTGCCTGTAATCCCAGCTACTTGGGAAGTTGAGGCTGAGGCAGGAAAATCACCTGAACCTGGGAGGTTGTGGTGAGCTGGGGTTTCACCACTGCACTCCAGCCTGGGCAACAGAGCGAGACTCTGTCTCAAAACAAATAAATAAATGAATGAACGAATGGAGGAGATAAAATGCCTATTGCACACATACTACAAAATAAAAAACGTTGCTGTTGAACTTTGCAGAGCTCCCTGGCTCCCCAGCTCTGCCTAGGCCTTACAATAACGTCAGGTGGCATTAGGAATGGGCGACCTGATGGACCAGGGCAGACTCGAGCTCAGTGGAGGTGCTGGTCGTCTCTGCGTGGACATCCCTGGATCAAGTGTGCTGGATATGAAGAGACAGTGCCCTTTGCAGGAGGAATGGCTAGGAGGGATCTCTTCCATCCATCTAATGAATACTGAAGATTTTTAACCCAATGAGCAGTCACAGGCATTTTAAATGGAATTAGGCAAAAATATCCACATCTCCAAGCAAATAATTGTCTCACCCAAATACCAAAGGAGGTAATCCATGCATTCTGTGTGCAGTTTCCTTCTCCTACCTGCACAAATTCATCCTGATGGAGGTCAATGTACTGGAAGACTTTCTCTAACAGCGCCGGGGGCAGGGAGTGTGAGGAGAACATGCCTCCCTCCAGCAGCAGCAGCAGGGCCAGCAGGGACGCAGCCTGGAAGGGTTTGACACAGGAGGAACGAATGAAAATCAGCACCGGTCGCTGGACTTTGGACCTTCCAAATTCCTCAAGAAGGGTTGTTATCTCACACAGCTGCCTCCAGTCAGTCAGAATAAAATAACACAAGGCGGTAGAACCAAACATGTTATTTTTTGTTACGTCTTTCCCCAAACACTTTATTTCCAATGCTAAAGAATTTTAATAAGACAAAAATCGAGTTAACAAGCTCATCTTTAAATAACATCATTCCGTTTATTCCTAGGATAAGGTGTTTCCTCCTGGCCCCTTGGGGAGGCCAGTTCTGCTGCCCAGGAGTGAAGGACGATCTTTACGAGACAGAAAAGAGCAAGGTAGAACCGAAAACAAACACGCAAAAATCTTCCATGTGTGATGAACTACTGCACTAGACAAAGGAATTTCTGAGCAATGCCTAAAATCCAGTGTTGTGGGGTTTCTTTCCACTGGCTCCTGAAATCACAGTACTTTAACAAGAAAGGAAGAGAAAGGTCTGAGGTGGTGGTTCCTGCCTGTAATCCCAGTACTTTGGGAGGTCGAGGTGGGCGGATCACTTGAGGTCAGGAATTGAAGACCAGTCTGGTCAACATGGTGAAACCCCGTCTCTGAGAGACCCATCCACAACCCTGCCTCCTCCCTCCTTTCCCCTCCCTGACCCCTGCTCAGTCTCCCCAGCCCATCCACAGCTGGAATGACTCCACCTGGGAGTCCTCGAGAGCCTGAGAGCCAGCATTCCTCCTTGACGCCCGACAGGAAGGTCCTGTGGCAAAGTGGGCAAGGGTCACCCCTTCACAGAGGCCCCCCAGAGCCCTGTCTGGAGTGGGAGCTGCCGGCATCAGGCCCAGGGGCCACCTGCACATCTGGAGGGGCCATTAGCAACATCTCCCCCAGTGCAGCCCCAGCCACCAGAGGCTGGAGAAGAGGAGGGAGGGAGTGAGGGATGGGAAGGGCCAAGGGGGCTGCAGCCCTTGGTCAGACCCCCGACGCTAGGTTCTTAGCTAGGAAAGCCACCCGCTATCCCCAGGAGACCAGCTGGGCTCCACTTTAGAAGCCAAATCCACCCTCCTGCAGCAGGAGGAAGGAGGGGCGAGTTTAACCCAGCCTGTCTCTGTTAGTTTTGTCTCTGGAATCCCATCTTTTATCGTTTTAAATGTTTGAGATGTTTTACATTATAAAGTTATAATTGTTTAATCTATGATTCTTTAAATGCCCACCTTTCCATAGGTGGAGGTGAGCAGGGGTTGCAGGGAAAACAAAGGGAACTAGGCTGGTGAAGTCTCAGTGCCATCCCCGAGACCTTGAGAGACAGGTGTGCTCACAACGAGAGGACGCTCATTACGGATGTGGCCCCGCCAATGCTGCTTATTTTACAATGGAGCATCTGCAAGGCTGTTTGAAAAGCAGTTGGTTGAATATTTTTCTTTTCATTCTGTCATTTTCATGGCTTCCTCTAATCCACTCTCCACGAAGCAGCCTGGGTGATCTTTTTAAAGGCAGGGCAGATCGCAAGACTCCCTGTTTTAGCTCTTCCAAGAGGTCCCATTGCCCTTGTGGTAAAGCAAATATCCCCATGCCCCCCAGGACTTATGTGGTGGATCCCACCTGCTTCTCCAACCAGACCTCCTCCCTTGTTGGGGTACCATGCAGGGCCCCTCCATCACTTTCCACCTGTTCCCAAATGCATTGCTGAATCTTCCTCCATGCCCCTGCCCATCCCTTGGCCTCAAGCCCCCATGGAGCAAAGGTGAGCTGGGGAGCATCCAAACTGATGAGCCCCCCAACACATGGCACAGGCATCTGAAATGAAATTGTGCACAGGGAGCTGTGTTCTGTCTCTTCTAGGAATTCACTTCCAACAAAACATCTAGTCCTACTGAAAATGTCCCAGATGGCAAGAAAGAGTGCATCTCCCTAACCAGAGTGTCACTTAGCACCTGGGGTCAATCCATCCCATGCCCAAAAGGACAGTCACTCCCAGGCTGTTCTACCTCCTGTCAGATCATCACTGAAATGCTACAGGGATGTTCAGGCTTCAAGAACTTTTCAGCTAGGATTCAGCTGGCACAAAATCTGAGCGACCACAGAGAACCTGTGTTCACAAAATAAGGCAGCAGAGTGAGAGTCAATGCTGGGTGAGGGCATGTGGATAAAGCAGTGCAGTCGGGGTGGCATCACAGGGAGACCACAGGCCTAACAGTCAGGAAGGCCAGCACCAAGTTCAGCCCTGCCAGATCCCAGTTGTGCTCCTTTGGGTACCTCTCTGAGCCTGAATTCCCTCAACGGTCATCAGGGACTGGAAGCCTCACAGTGGTTGAGGACCCAACCAAAGAGCTATAGAAAAATGTGTGGCTCCGAGCAGACAGAGAGCTCACCAGCTGTCAGGAAAGCAGTCAGACATGCCGTGAAATGCAGACCATGTCCCATCATGGGGTGGGGGTGGTCAACAGCAGCGTCTGGGAGGAAACTGGTGCTGAACACTGACGGGGAGGAAGGGTAAGTTTGGGGAAGGGCAGGCATTCGGGGCAGAAGTTTTAACCTCTGGAAGTTTCCTCTTTTTGAAGCAGGAGAATGTATCAAAACGTTCTAATAAGAGTCTGAATTTTGCTGGAGAATAATCGAGAGGAAATTGTAAAGTTTAAGAATAGTTATAAATATTCTGGAGAGTGAACTGGCTTAAGGACACACATACATATCAATCAAATACAACTGAAAACCCAGAAATAAATCCTCACATTTATGATCAACTGATTTTCATCAAGGGTGCAGAGATCATTCAATGGGGGAAAAATAGTCTTTTCAATAAATAATGCTGGGAGAATTGGATATCCACATGCAAATGTTAAAGTTTCACCCCCTTCCTCACACCATATATAAGAACTAACCCAAAATGATCAAAGACCTAAATGAAAGTACTAAAACCATAAAACTCTTAAAAACAAACAAACAAACAAACATAGCTGTAAATCTTCCTACCTTTGGATGAGGTGATGGTTTCTTAGATATGACACCAAAAGACAAGATGGATAAATTGGACTTCATAAAAAATAAAAACATTTGTCCATCAAAGAACATCATCAAGAAAATGAAAAGACAACACATAGAATGTGTGTGTGCATGGGGGGGCGGGGATTACAAATCATATATCTGATAAAGGACTTATGTTGAGAATATAAATAACAATTACAGTTCAATAATAAAAGAAAGCCAAATTAAAAATGTGCAAAGGATTTGAATAAATGTTTCCTCAAAGACAATATACAAATGGCCAATAAACACATGGAAAGTTTAGGCTTAGCATGATTAGCCATCAGGAAAACACAAATCAAACCACATGAGACACCACTTCCTACCCACTAGGATGGCTAGAATTAAAAAGCCAGACACTAACAAGTTTTGACAAAGATGTAGAGAAACTGGAACATTCATGTACTGCTGATGGGAAGTCAAAAGCCTGCAGTCACTGTGGAAAACAGTCTGAAAGTTCCTTAATCTATTAAACATAGAGTCACCATATGACCCAGCAATTCTACTCCTGAGTACATATCCAAGACAAGTGAAAACATATGTCCACACAAAAACTGGTACATGATGTTTATAACGGCATTATTCATAGTAGCCAAAAGGCAGAAACAAGACATGTTCATTAATGAATGAATGGATAAATAAAATCTATATTTCACTGAAATATTATTTGGCTATACAAAATGATTTTCATCTTACATAAAAAGGAATGAAGTACTGGCACATGCTACAATGCAGACAAACTTTGAATACATTGTGCTAAGTGAAATGAGCCAGACACAACGGCCACGTATTGTGATTCCATTTACGTAACAGTCTAGAGTAGGTAACTTCATAGAGACAGAAAGTAGTAGATTGGTGGTTACCCAGTGGGAAAATAGGAAGGGAATGCTAATGAATAGGGGTGCCTTTGGGGTGATAAAAATGTTATAAAATCGATTGTGCAATGGTTGTACAATTCTGAATATACTAAAAACCGTTAAAATTGCACACTTTAAATGGGTCAATTGTAAGGTATAAGAATTATATCACAATACAGTCATTATACAAATAATCATAGCTATAGCCACTCATTTGACAATACAAATACATTATGGAGTATGAAAACTGTAGATAGAGGAAGCTATGCATTGGTTAAAAGCAAGGTCAAGGTGAGCAATGCCCATTCATGAGCTGATTAAGAACTGCGTCCAGTAGGTGGTGCTGATGAGCCGCTCATGATCTCCCTGGCTGCCCTGCACTCAGAAGGCTGAAGCCGGATCCAGCCCAGCTCTGAGGGACTTAGCCAGGAGCCAGGGTCGGCAGATAGTCTGTGGGAGAAACTCCTCTGGCCCTCCAGTAGCCAGAGAGGGAGCTCAGGTGCGAGGAAGGCTTCAATAAAGGCTCTTGGAGGCAACAGTGGCTACTTCTTTTTTTTTTTTTTTTTTTTTTTTTTTTTGCAATCAATCCATCTACATTAACATTTGAGCTTTTATTTTTCCTTCAGACAAGTTCCATTAAAAAAAATTTGGTGTTCCTCTCCAGTGAAAAATAAAAAAGGAAAGTTGGAAGAAGGAAATAAGCTGCAGGAAAAAAAAAAATGAAAACAGTGATTATTGTAAGGACAGAATAGTTCAGATTCAGCAGGAGCCTCCTCCTCCTCTGGCCCTAGGAGAGCAACTTAGCCCTGGTCTCAAATAAAAGACTGACCTGATGCCCTGACCTGACGACTGGCCGTGACAGCAGGGATCTGACAAGGGGAAGTGCATGATTTCATCCTCCCTCCCTTTTCCACAGAGCAGGGCAGCCTGCTATCCAGGTTCATGGACGCTGACTTTGGGCATGAATCCCCCCTTCACCATCTGAGTGGGATCGGAGACTCCATCCATTTTCCTCCTGTTCCTCCACGCCTCTGTGTTTTTGTTTTTGTGTGTGTGTGTGTGTGTGTGTGTGTGTGTGTGTGTGTTCAGTTGTGCTTGACCTTGAACTAGTTACCTGTATTAGGCTGTTCTTATTGTATTGCTATAAAGAAATGCCTGTGGCGGGTAATTTACTTAAAAAAAAATAGGGTTAATTGGCTCACAGTTCTGCAGGCTGTACAGGAAGCATGGTGCCAGGATCAGCTCACCTTGTGAGGAGGCCTCAAGGAATTTTTACTCATAGCAGAAGGTGAAGCAGGAACAGGCAGGTCATGCGGTCACAGCAGGTGCAAGAGGGATCAGGGGAGGTGCCACACATTTTAAACAACTGGATCTTGCATAAACTCACTATTGCAAGGACAGCGCCCAAATACCTCCCACCAGGCTCCACCTCCAACATTGAGGATTACATTTCAACATGAGTTTTGGGCGGGTACACATATCCAAACTGATCATTCTGCTGCTGGCCCCTCAAATCTCATGTCTTTCTCAGATTGGAAAATACAATAATGGGCCGGGCATGGTGGCTCATGTCTGTAATCCCAGCACTTTGGGAGGCCAAGGCAGGCAGATCATGAGGTCAGGAGATCGAGACCATCCTGGCTAACACAGTGAAAACCCATCTCTACTAAAAATACAAAAAAAAAAAAAAAAAATTAGCCAGGCATGGTGGTGGGTGCCTGTAGTCCCAGCTACTCCAGAGGCTGAGGGAGGAGAATGGTGTGAACCCGGGAGGCGGAGCTTGCAGTGAGCAGAGATCATGCCACTGCACTCCAGCCTGGGCAACAGAGCAAGACTCCATCTCAAAAAAAAAAAAAAAATTAAAAAAAACCAATAATGCCTTTCGAATAGTCCCCCAGTCTTCACTCATTCCACCATTAACTCCAAACTCCCAAGTCCAAAATCTCATCTGGAGATGAGTTCCTTTCACCTATGAGCCTGTAAAATCAAAACAAGTTATTTACTTCCAAGATACAATCAGGGTAGAGACATTGGGTAAATGCTCCCACTCCAAAAGGGAGACATCAGTCAAAAGAAAGGGGCTCCAGTCCCCATGCAAGTCTAAACCCCAGCAGAGGCGTCATTAAATCTTAAAGCTCCAAAATAATCTCCTTTGGCTCCATGTCCCACATCCAGGGCACACTGCTGCAAGGGGTGGGATCCCAAGGCCTTGGGAAGCTCCACTGCTATGGCTTTTCCAAGGTTAGGATGCAAGGTGCCAGTGGATCTACCATTCTGGGGTCTGGAGTATGATGGCCCCCTTCTCACAGCTTCATTAGGTAGTGCCCCATGGGGACTCTATGTGGGGACTCCAACCCCATATTTTCCTTTTGAACTGTCCTAGTAGAGGCTCTCTGTGAGGGCTCCACCCCTCCACCCCTAGGTTCTTTCTAGGCACTGAGGCTTTCTCATATATTCTCTGAAATCTAGGTGGAGGCTGGTAAGCCTCCCTCACTCTTGCACTCTGTGTGCCTGTAGGCTTAACACCATGTGGAAGCTGCCAAGGCTTACAGCTTGCGAGTTCTGAAGCAGTGGACTGAGCTGTATCTGGGGCCCTTTGAGCCACAGCTGGAGCTAGAGCAGTGGGGATGTGGTGAGCAGCCTTCTGAGGCTGTACAGAGCAGTGCTGTCCCAGGTCTGGCCCATGGAACCATTTAGTCCTCTGAGGCCTCTGGGCCTGTGGTGAGAGGGGCTGCCTCAAAGGTCTCTGAAATGCCATCAAGACCATGTTCTTATTTTTTTGGCTTTTAACACTAGGCTACCTTTTAGTTATGCAAGTCTCTCTAGCAAGCGGTTGCTCTGCAACTTGTTCAAATTCCTCTCCTGGTAATGATTTTTCTTTCTCTGCCACATGGCCAAGCTGAAAATTTCCCAAGCTTTATGCTCTGCTTTCCTTTTAATCTTTTTCCCATTTAGAGAAAAAAAAAAAAAAAAAAAAGTGCAGCTCATTGCCAGCGCTCATTTAATTTTACATAAACTCACTTTTTGAGGTTGAAGCAAATCTGACTGATTTTCAATGTGAAAATAAAATATAAAAACTGTTCATGGAGTTCTTTCTAAACAGAACATCAGAATCAACTAAATCATCAGAATCATCTATTTCAGATTCATCAAATGAATCTTTGACCCACAATTGTTCAAGAACAATGTTAACATCACATGCAGGAATGCTACATTTTCTAGGATTTGACATTTTCAGCAGTTGAAAATTACTACATTTTGTAAATGGAAATACCACTAACAAAAACCAGAATGCCCTAAATAGAATGATGTCTGTTGTTTCCAAAGTCAATATACTAGAGTGATGTGAAAATAATAATAAAAGCAAGATAGTTTATGGCAAAGTTATCTCAGGGTAAATGCTGCAGCCACAAGTGCCACTGGTGAATATTTGTGGGGCAACCAAGAAAAGGGTTAAATATAAATTCCAACTTTAAGCCATTTCTTCACTTCCACATCTGAACATAACTTGTTAGAAATAGCCAGGTCACATCTTGAACACTTTGCTACTTAGAAATTTCTTCTGGCCGGGCGCGGTGGCTCAAGCCTGTAATCCCAGCACTTTGGGAGGCCGAGACAGGCGGATCACGAGGTCAGGAGATCGAGACCATCCTGGCTAACACGGTGAAACCCCATCTCTATTAAGAAATACAAAAAACGAGCCGGGCGAGGTGGCGGGCGCCTGTAGTCCCAGCTACTCGGGAGGCTGAGGCCGGAGAATGGCGTGAACACGGGAGGCGGAACTTGCAGTGAGCTGAGATCCGGCCACTGCACTCCAGCCTGGGCGACAGAGCGAGACTCCGTCTCAAAAAAAAAAAAAAAAAGAAATTTCTTCTGCCAGATACCCTAAGTCATCACTCTTAAGTTCAAATTCCACAGACCCTTAGGGCATGAACACAATGCAGCCAAGCTCTTTGCTGAGGCATAACATGGGTGAGCTTTGCTCCAGTTCCCAATCAGTTTTTCTTTGCCATCTGAGACCACGTCAGCCTGGACTTTACTGCACAAATCACTATCAGCATTTTGGTTACAACCATTAACCAGTCTATAAGAAGCTGCAAACTATTTCCCTCATCTTCCTGTTTTCTTCTGAGCTCTCCAAACTCTTCCAACCTCTGGCCATTACCCAGTTCCAAAGTTGCCTACACATTTTCAGGTATCTTTATAGCAATTCCCCAGTCCTCAGTACCACTTTTCTGTGTTAGACTGTTCTTGCAGTGCTATAAAGAAATACCTGAGGCTGAGTAGTTTATAAAGAAAAGAGGTGTAATTGGCTCATGTTCTGAAGGCTGTGTAAGTATGGTGCCGGCATCTGCTCAGCTTCTGGGGAGGCCTCAAGGAACTTTCACCCATGGTGTAAGGTGAAGCGGGAGCAGGATCCTCACATGGCAAGGACGTTAGCAAGAGTGGGAGGCACCACACACTTTTAAACAACCAGATCTTGCAAGAATGCACTCACTATTGTGAGGACAGCACCAAGCCAGGAGGGATCCACTCCCATGACCCAAATACCTCCCCTCAAGCCCCAACTCCAACATTGGGGATCACATCTCAACATGAGATTTGGCAGTGACACAGATCCAAACTCTCATCACCCAGTGAAAATCCAGGGATGCAGAAAGGTTATTCCTGGCTTTTGACCTTGCAAAAAGAAGAAAGAGGAGCTGCAGAACAGGAAGCTGCACTTGCGGGGGGCTGGGGTTAGGGATGCGCAGGGTGAGTCCTGGACTGAGAGAGTCTTTTCGAATGGCCGGGGTGGGCAGTTGTCCAGCTGAGGGTGCTAAGCTCCCACTGGCTATGGGACCCTGAGGGGAACCCCATTTGCTGCAGAGGCTTGTGTTTATCCCAGCTGGTTGTCCTTAGGTTTTTAGATTTGGAACAAAAGTTCCAAGTGCCCCTGTGCTGAGCCTTCTTTCTAAATACTGTAACTCTTAGGGGAGGTTTACATCCTCTGCTGTGTTACCATCACAACCTGCCCTTCCCCAAAGTGAGAGGTCCCGGGGCACTTCCTGAGTCTTCTTAGTGTCTTCGCATATCATTCTTCTCTTTCTCCTCCCACAGCTTGGCATTGGCTTCACCTCTACCTCTCTCCTAGCTCTCACTAACAACTGGAGAGTTGGATGCCCTGTGGGCTTAGCTGATCGAGGCCTTGACAGTGGCCCAAGATACTTTAACGTGGACACTTCTGTCTCCTGCCAGGAGAGGAGCAGGTACCCCTAAAGGAGGATGGAGTAGGGGTGCTGTGGGAAACCCCACTTTTGCACTGGTTGTTTTTGTTTATTTGGGGTGTTGAACAGAAGAAAGAATAGAAAATGAAAGAAAGCAACTCTTGCCTCCACCTCCCACAAAGCCTCAGGCCAAGGGCGGGTCCTTGGTGTCCACACAATGGCCAATCAGCCAGACCCTTGTTAAGGGGAAGAAACCTCAGTGCCGGTCAGTCATCCCGGATACCAAGAATTCTATTGACCTCCTAGTCAAGAGTCCTTGTGGGATTGTTTTATAGAAGTTGCTCTGTCCTGGGTCTGCTCTGATGAATTTGTCATAACACAGAAAAGAATGTTTTAGTAGCCTAGTTTATCTCACCATCACAGGATTTTTAATAAACAACAAAAACAGGCTTTCCTGGATTCTGTTGGTTTCCTGTGGGCACAGAGCTGAGCCAACGTGGCTCCTGCAGATTGATTAACTCACTCTGGCAGCAAGACCCCATGGGGGAATCAGCAAGGGCGTGGTTTCCTCCAGTCAGCAGCCTGGACAAACTCCAGGGAGCACAATTCCCCAGAAAATCCCAAGAACTGTGAGTCCCTCCATCATCCTCTAGTCTGGCCTAACCTGTGAGTTTGACCCCGGAGAAGAACATTGGTTGAGGCCAAGTTCAGTTTAGACTCATTCCCAGAATGTGAGGCCACACACCACGTGAAATGGCTGGAACTAACAAAGTTTACTCAGTTTGCTAGGATCCTCACAGAGCTGCTCCTTGAACGCAGAGCAGAGCTGCAAGAAGTCAGAGACCACCGAAGCCAGGGGATGGAGGAGGAACTGAGTGCCAGTCACGGGGTGGTTGTTTTCGTGGTTTGCAGGGAGAGCTGGCCTAAAGCTCAGGGGCTAGCACTTAGGAACTGGCTGGCTCAGGACACAGGCTCTGAAGCAGGGACAGTGGGACCTACTATGTGCCCTCAGGGTGGGTGGCACAAGAGAATACGGCATGTGGCACCTACGAAGCGCCTTCGGGGGGGTGGCACAAGACGATACCACATCTGGCACATCACAGCCCAAGGCACTGTACGATGTCTTCACTCCTGGGC